TCTCGAACGGCAGCCTGATTCCAGGGCTGCTAACTATGGTATCAAAAACAGCGATCCTGACGTTCAATCCTTCACTGCGTGCCTTGGTCACGGTATCCATGAACCGCTGCACCAGTTCGTCATGGCTGATTGGAAACTCATAATTGACCTTACGAGCACGAACAGGAGTCGTTTCTGCCAGCGAGGCAATAAGCTTCTCCACTGCTCCGTACACGGTAGAGAAGTAGACAATGATATCACCCGGATGGTAGACAAGGTTCCTCAGCACCGTGTTGACGCCCGTGGTAGCATTCTTGACGAATACGGTAGAGTTGACGGGCGTGTTCAGCAGTGAGCTCAGGGCCTTGCGAGACTCAAGCAAGTAGAATGCCAGCTCGAAACGGAGGAATCGGTCTGGACTTGCTTCAAACTTGTCCTGGAGTTCGCGGAACTTGTTTAATATGGCAATGGGATATGTCCCGAACGAACCTGAGAGATTAATATTAGAATCGCTCAATTGAGAATACAATAGAGAGGTATCACTATATTTACCATGGTTCAGGTTCCTAAAAGTCCGATCAATGGGAAACTCCTTCAGTAGGGAATTGCCGAGTGCTTTGGGTTGATATGAGCCCATGTTGGTAACTGCTTTCAGTGATATATAGTTATATATAAATAATTATATAGATCTGAAGAAGTTATATAGTCAGATTGCCCTGTCAACTGCGATTAATGAGGCCCGTCGACCCCTTATATAGACAACCCAGCCCTGAAGCCAGCAATATCAAATAACAGTTGCAAGCTCCCCAGCTGTCTCCGCACGCACTTTTAGACCTCGGCGGCGGCAGCGGTGGAGTCGGGGCTCTTACATAACACCCGCCGCCCGAAAGAGGCATAGAGTACGAGGCGGCTTGCATTAAGCGATCGCTAGGGCCATGCATAGGCTCACAAAATTGGCAAGCTGGGACAGACAGATAGTGGACTTGTCATGGCAAGGGCGCGTTCAGTCGGATCAATTATCAGTACCATTAACAAAACAGCTAAAGTACAAAAAAGGCATGCATGCATGGCTAGCTAATGAGGCCGGCCAATGTATCAAGACGGATGAAGTACAGGGAGGGAGAAGCTGATGGAAGATGCTATGCAATGAATGGAAACGCCGTCTATCCAACCCTCTTCCTCGCAAGGTAGAGTAACAAGCAAGTGAACCGTTCATGCTTGTCGAAACCATCATGCCGTAGTTACCGTATCATGCCAAGTATCAAAAAGAACAAACAGCCACTCGAGAACAAAACAAGTCAAAAAAAAAAAAAAAAAAAAAAAAAAAAAAAAAGAAAAATAGATAACCTTAAAAGAAAGCGCACAGAGTCGGATAATCTATCTGATTAGTCCAAGGGAATTGATTCATTCATCGCTTGCCCTTCTTCTTGGATACGACCTTAAAGGATGCATTGCTGGTCGTCTGATCCTCGCGGCTTGCAGCTGCATTTCCCTTCTTGGCGACTTCGTTCCAGCCGTCTGATGAATTCTTTGATTCGGCAGGGGATCCGAAGGCTCCGGAAGACGCGGTATCGATGATACCCTTGTCAGCCAGCTTGCGGCGTCTGATGAACTCTTCGGCAAATCGGCGTCCATCAAGAGTCTGCGAGTTGGCATACACGGAATCCGAGATGATTTCTGACTCTGCGGGCAAGAAAAGAAGCTGTTGTACAAAGTCGTCGACTAGATACATGTTAGACTCACATATAGGAATACAACTTTATGCATTAAAATAAGGCTTACCATTGATAGAGCTGTTCAAGCCTTTCTCGAGAGCATTCTTAGCCCATTTTGCCAGCTCTTCGGTAGGACGGTTGGCTGTAGTTGCAGCAGAATTGCCCATACTGACGTTTCGGGTCATGATAGTCTTAGGCTTGGTTGCCGGGGTCGGACTGGGAGTAAGACCGGGAACGTTACGGGAGTTAACAGCAGTAGAAACGGGGGCTGCTTTAGCCTTTCCGCTGGCTCCTACGGTAGTCCAGGCGCCACTAGAGGCAGCTGCAGTGGGTTGCTGGGCAGTCATCTTGCTTGCAAGCTCTGCATAGCGTTTTCCTGCTGGGGTTCCGAGAGAGTTGGCAGCGGACGCAGCGGCGGCAGCGGCTGCAGCACGCTGCTTACGAGCCTCTTCTTCCTTCTGGATCTGGGCTAGGGTCTTCTTTGGTGCGGTACTTGCGGGTACTCCTGCGTTCTTACCGCCGGCTGGCTTGGACCAGGCAGATGTATCTGAAGAGGAATTGGCATTTCCACTACGAGCCCAGTTGGCGGTTGATGGAAGACCTGGAGCAGGGGCTGGTGGTGGGTTGGCGCGTTCCTGTTCAGCAAGCGCACGACGGGCAGAGACGGCAAGTTCTTCGAGCCTTGCGACCTTGCGGGCTTCAGCCTCCTGGATCTCACGAAGAGATGGACCCTTGGATGGTTCGATATGCTCCTTAGCCCATGGTGCGATGGAGGTGGTCTGAACTTCGTTTGGGGTCTGGGTCTGCGAACGTGTTTCAGCTGCAAGATTATCTGCTACGTGCTGACGGTTGCGTTGGGCAGCTGGAGCTGGCAGCGGAGACTGTGAAGGTGGAGGTGGGAATGGCTGCGGGAGTCCACTGTCGACCTTTGCCCATGGAGATTCAACTTCAGATGAAGCTAACTGTTGCTGTTGCTGCTGTTGAAGTCTCTGTGCCGATGCAGCATTTTGCACTTGCTGGGTAAGGGTGAGCTCCTGTTCGTTATTTTGCTGGAAAGGAGGCTGATCTTTGGAAGCTGGGGATCGTTCCTGTAGTGGCCTCTGTTGTTCTTGGCTAGGCTCTCGATGATTGGCTGGCTCCTCAGTACGGCGAACGGGAATGTCCTCATCGGCAATCCTCAATGCATGGAACTGACGGACACGCTCCTCTCTAGCCTGCTGGTCAAAAATGGACTCTGGATGGGCCTTATTGAAGTTCTCTTGCTCCTGCTGCAAACGGCTTCGGTCCTGCAGCATGGTGGTAACAGCCTGATTATGTGCCTGGGCTTGAGGGTCCTGTGGTGCTGAAGGAAAAGCTCCGGTGCTGTTGAAACCAAACTGGCCAGCTCCTCTGTTAACATTCATTCTATCTAGCAAGGCAGGCAATTCATCCTGGCCTGTGCTGAAATCCGGCGCGCCGCTTTGGGGCCCCGGAGGGCCGGTATTCTGTCTCATGGGCCCCTCGAAAAAAGCCGGAACGGAGTGGGGAGGTTGAATAGGAGCTTGCATAGGTGTGGGTTGAAAAGCTGCAGGAGAGGTAATGCTACCAAAGCTGGGCTGGCTTTGAAGACTATGGGCACTGGAATGGTGCTGAAGCTGTGGGTTGATAGGGTGAGCTGGGCCCTGGATCTGCTGCATCTTCATGAGAGCTTGCTGCTGAGCAAGGTGTTCCTTTTGTCTGGCCATAAGGTACTGCTCTTCCTGCTTTCTGCGTTCCAGTGCATTTTGCTGCTCAGCAGTAAGAGTGGTACCAAAACTGGGGAAGCTGTTAGCAAATGGAGGCTGAACAGCCCCAGTCTGCGACTGTGAGGAATTTCCCCATGGTCCTGGCTGGTTCATTGGGGGGCCATGCGGTACGCCGATTTGAGGGACAAGGAACGGCTCGCGAGAGTTGCCAATACGTCGAACAAGCTGGGCGAGAGGTTCATATTCTGCATCCTCGAGCTTCTTAACTTGTAGTTCTGCAGTAAAGAAGCCAGCTTTGAACCAGTCGTGCATTTCAAGGCCAGACCATGGTCCCTGAGTGTTACCCTGAGGATCCCGATAGATCCAGCGCATACGATCTGGCATCACCATTTGTCGTTGCTGGGCTGGTGGAAGTTGGTTGGAGGCAGACGCACCATATTGGTTACCGTTGCCATTATCGAGTAACCCTGGGCCGGGCGGAATGGTGATAGTTCCACCGGCGGTAACTGTAGGAGTATGCGAAGTCGTGGTAGATGGATGTGGTAAGCTTACTGGATTCTCTAGAGACATGAAGGGATCTATAGAATATGTGAGCCTTCTCTGTTTTTATGTTTAGTAATGCAACAATAGATATATGCACGTACCTTGTGGCTTGCCAGGCTCGTCCTTGGAGTGAGACTGTTCGTTGCGCATTTGCTCCTGCATAGCAGGCGGGAAGAGAGAGCCCAGTTTACTAGGACGGGAGCCACCACCCATGTTTGAGAGACTAGTCTGAGAGCCAAAGAGGCCCCCTCCTCCGAGAGCAGAGTTACTTGGAGATTGCAGCTCAGACATGGGGCCGAATATCGGGTCACCAAAGCCGAAGGCAGTTCTTTCTCGCGTTGGCGTGCCAGTGGCACTCGTGGTAGGCCATCCGCCGGAGTTACCTAGTGAACCAAGCCCTCCGAGTCCCCCAAGTCCCGGGAAACCCCTATTAGCACCTACACTTGAAGTTTGACTGCGGTCGGCAGCAGGAATGTCAGAAACCAATCCGGGCCGCGGCATGGATCCAAAGGAGCCATGACCAGAGTCATCGCGCAGGTCGCCAATGTTTGGAAGGCGCGCGTGTTGCTGGATATCAGAGCCTTCGTTATCGGCATCTCCAGTGCCAACAACACCATTGTCGGCAGTTCGATCGCCACGCGGACTCTGATAAGGGTTAGTATGCGTTGGGCTCATGGGTTCATGATGCGCATGGTTGGGGGATTGAGATGACGCAACTAGATCACGAAGAGCGGATGTGCCGCCGGGCATCCCAAATGAGGAGAGCCCGAATTGGTCGATGCCTCCTATCTCCTGACCTCCCAGGGCCGCGCTACCGCTACGGCGTTCATCAAAGGGGTTAGTCTCGCTGCGAGAAGGGCGGTTCCTGAGAGCTTCTTCACCAGAATCTCGGGGACCGTCGTCCTCGGCTTCGGGTAGGCGATCAAGGCCAGTACCAGACGGCGATTTGTCCTTATTGTTACCACTACCAGCGACATCTTCGGAGCTTGACTTGGAAAGCAGGTTTTTGAACCGGCTTTCGCTGCGTACGCTCCCAAAGCCTGGTTTCTTGTCTGTGCCGCCTTGGGAACCAACATTGCCAAGAGCAAAATTACCAAAGGCCCCTACTCCCATGGAACCAAAGGCAGACCCCTGGTTAGACGACCAGGGAGAGTTGGATCCAACGGCGCCAACTGGATTGGTGGTGCTACGTTTGAGAGACCCAAACGGGGAGTTGATGTCGAATGAAGAGTCTCGTTCCGCAAAACTCTTGTCCTTATCCTCCCACTTCGAGTCGCCCGAAGAGTCCTTGATATCGGTCTTTCGACGCAAAATAGCTGGGGGTGGGGTCGCGGTGTTTGGTTCGTCACGGAAAAAGCGGGAGCTGGTGGGTGACATTGGATTTCCAGAATCTCCCGTCCCCCGCCTGCGAGGCACATTTCGGGCGGAAGCTGGAGAAGTAGAATTAAAGGAATTCATATGGCCATGAGAGATGGACGACTTGCGACCAATCGTTCCGACGGATGAGGAGCCATCCTTGTTGGCATTTTGCGGTGGGGGTTTGAGAGGCGAGTTGACAGAGGTGGAAAACAACTATAGCCAAAAAATCAGCATGTTGGGGAAGAAAAGGGAAAGCAAGGACAATCAATATCTTGTCAGGGGGGGTATCAAAAACAAGGGATAGTGCCACGCACTTCTTTCTCCTCATCATTCATATCCAACAGGCCTAGAGGTTCACTTTGGCCCTTATGGTCCCAGCAGACCTCCGGATTTGCAGTAGTATTATCTTTGGAGTCATCTTGCTTGCCCCAACTTCCGTTGGTGGATGGGCGTTCGCTGCGGGGGTCCCAGTCGCCCATGAAATAACCAGTGATTGATTTCCCCCAGTCCTTCGACCCTCGGTGGTTCTTATAAAGATTCAAAAGCTGTTCCTTGGAATAGGTATTATCGTTTCCATTACGCGCCGACTGGTAATTGGAGCTGAGGTGGGGTGGGATATAGGCAGCACTAGAAGAATTGGAGGTGTTTGACTGGGTCTGTTGCGCATTCTCTCGATTATGGGAAGGGTTGGTAGCAACAGAGGGTCTCCGGAACGTCTGCGTAGCTCCATTCATACGATTTCGAGACCTGATGTAAATATTAGCCACATTCTTGAACCAGAAAAATAATAATAATAATAATAATAATAAAGGCCGAGTTGCAAAAAAAAGACAGCATCCTGAGCAGCCAGGTATGCAGCATCATATCGATCCGAACGCGACAGAAAGGACCCTACCATTCACCACTATTCAAAGCATCCCTCCGCGAGCCAGGGGCCGGATCTTGTGTGTTTCCAGCTGCCGCAGAGGCAAAAGTAGATGGCAACGGTGAAGACATGGTGTAATCGGTAAGCTGGAGAGCACCGTCAGCAACGAGACAACACTAATAGACAGACGGAAGCAGGATCGAGCGTGTCTGCGGCTGTCATGGACCTCACTGCGTCTCGGCTATAAGCCGATGGTGAAGACGAAGATTTAGCAGGACACACGACAAGCGGTGCTTACCAAAGCGGATCAAGAATCCCAAGCGCGCCAGGAACAAAGAGGAAGAAAAAAGACGACGAAGTGGCGATGCAAGGCGCTGAGAGAGCTGGATCAGAGCTGGATGCTGGAGATGCGAAGTCGCTAAAGATGCTGGGTTTTGTCGCTGCGGTTTGCGTTGACGTTGAAGTCGAGGTTGGAGCGAAGAAAAAAAAGATCTTTTGCTTCTTTGGGATGGCTGGAGGTGGGAACAAGGGCTAGTCACGGGACCGCGTGGCAGTAGCTGCTGCCGGCGGTGAGGTCAGGTGACGCCGCTGCTTACTGGCGGGAGTTCTCTGTGGGCACACACTACGTTATTGTCCACGCACCGCCTTCAGACGAAGCGTAGAGAGAAGGGAAAAAAAAAAAATTTTCAAGGCCGAAGCCGCGGACGACGAAGTTGATATACAGCCCGCGACGGCGAGGACGGATTTGATGCTGGCGGATGGTGATTCGGGGATATTACGACATAGGCAGCGTGCTCGATGGCGTTTGACTAGCTCTGGCGCAAAGATTTGCCTGCGACGAAAGGCTGCGCACGTTGGGAAGCGTACCGTGGAATGCTGCCAGAGAGGCGTTGTTTGAGACAGACTCAATCTCGAGAAGACAGCTGGTATACAGCTCCTAAGGGTATTTTACTATGATAGAGAAGGACGCCGTAGTTCCAAATACGGCTGTTGCAGGAGGAGATTGATGGCTAACGGTCTCAGGAACACGTCTATATAGAGGAGCCTGCCGGGAGATCTCCAGCATCAAAATGGCCCACAGGGAGGGCTACCAGTGCTCCATCTAAGAACATTTAAGAGATGTCTGCCGGAAATGAGGTGGATCAACGTCATCTCCCCGGATCTAAACATGTCAGTGGCGGTCTGGTCCTCCAGGGTGGCCGAGGAGTGGCTTTCTGAGCTCCAGGGTCTACCAACAGGAACTGGAAGTCCAGGAAGTCCACCACTTGTTTGCGTCGATGAACATGTTTGTTTGCTTTCTCAGCTATTTCGCCTTCAAGGAACTGTCTGCTGCCTGATGGCCGTGGTATCTCCAACCGAGAGGTCAAGCGTCGACAGCCTGGTGACTGTTGAGCTCCGGCAAGCAAACATATTCCCATCCCATATACCCCCAGCATTTGACAGGATATCCCACAGTATAAATATGCATCATTTGGCATGATGATCTCTCTGTTTTCGCTATCTTTAATCTTCTATGTAAAGATAGACAAGCGCATGCTATACCTTATCAAGAGAAATCGCTGAAGGAAATATCTACAATATGCCTTCATTCCCCTTTAGACGTCATGGGGGAGCCGAACGATTTGGCCTCACCGGGCCTCTTGACCACTCAGGCATCCAGCCTGGCCGAACCATGGCTTCTGTGCTTGGTCGCCACCGCTATCCATACGTACATGCTCCCGGTCCTGGTTTTAGGAGTGCAGAGCACCTCCTCAGGCAACCGCACCCGCATGCAGGAGCACATGGTCATCAACAAAATGTACCAATGCAAACACGCCACTGTCTTTTCAACGAGCCACCTAGCCGGCAGCAATTGGACCCCCGCACCCAAGCACACATGGCGGCACATCAGCTCGCGCGTTCACCAGAATCTTCACTCCGCAGAGTTGTTCCCGGCGGCCACAGAAGCCACCAGCCCCCCGCTTTCATGCCAATGTTTACACCAAAGCGTGCCAGGGCCCCTCCACTGGAGCTAGATAGTATACCACCCAGGGTACCAATAGCTGTACGTCATCGGCGTGATGGGAGACACCACCGTGACCCCTGGTTCCGCCCTCTCAGGCGAAGACGACTTCATGATGCATCTGATACCCACACCGAAGCAGGCAGGGCATCAACGCTCCATGAATCAGACTGGTCATCCGACGACGAGTCTCTCTTGGGTGTCCCATCTTTCCTAAGGGAAGCGCATGATAGGAGACACCGAAGGAGAAAAGGCCGACGACGTGACCGTTCGAAGGATCGTGATTTTCCAGGCTCGTCTGATGAATCGTTATCTCTATTTTACTTGGAAGGTGAGTTTGACGAGCCGTATCTGTCGGATAGACGCTGGGATGGCACGCACTCGTTTGTTCGACGTCGCCCAGAAGATATGTACTGGTGGCACAGTAGACGACTCTAGGTTTCTTCTGCTCTTACAATGCCTATGTCGAGGATAACGTTCAAGTTTTTTTTGCATGCCGGTATCTATCTAGGATGGGTATTCTCTTGCGTTCTGCTATTTATCTGTGCCAATCGTTACTGCATTCTTATCTCTTGATCCATAATATGGGGTATTCTTCCACGTATCTATCTTAATAGGAGTCTCCATCATATAGTCCTTATTGATTTACAGGCCTAGTCGCTGGAATTTTCTATAATCACTCTAACCATAAACCTCGCTTGTACCGATACCAAGACAGAAGAACATACTCCACAACCCAGCCAACCCGCTCTGACAATAACGTATCATACAGTTATACCTCCCAGACCACCGCTCATTCTCCAGCTTACCATCCGTCCCAACTCTGTGGTACCATCGGCTCGAACTCCCGTTTTATCAAAATCATCCAGAATCTTGTTTATATACTCACCGGCTCCAGATAAGAAAAGGATATGAGCAAAGGCACGGTGCAAAGCAAGGAGTCGAGGTGAAGGAGGCTCGATCGACCGGTCATCACTGAGAAAGAGTTTGCGTGTCACAGGGAGGCCAAACGCCATTGATACGGCTGGCTTCAGACTTTTGACATAGTATGTATGTTCCTGGCCATCAACAGGTTCCAGAAAGATGTCGAAACTTTTGAATAGAAGATGGGCTGTTGAGTTAAGGCTCATAGCATTGAGCGGCCTGTCGATGTCAGTGCCATTGATGATGTGACTAACGTTATAGTCAAACATATTCAATATCTGGATTACGGTCTTCTTGGCTTCGGACTGTGTAGAATGGGAAGTAAAAAAACTTAGCTTATTACGAATAGAAAATTCTGATTATTTTGAAGCAGTGACTTACCAAACCAGAACTCGTGTCTGATTGCATTAGAGAATGGGGAATGATATGAGCCACCTCTAACGCATATAACGATTGGCCCCTAAGCTGCATTCCCTCATCGTCTCGAGCATCTGGGTCATTTGACAGGCGACTGATTGCCTCTTTAAGGTCAAAAGACTGCGAAACCACGCATTTGTGGTGATCGCGTAACAAGCATAGACTGCGGAGGCCTGCAATTCGATCAGGTGTGCCTATGAACTCATGTTGTCCTTGTACTCTTTGAAGTGCCGAAAGACTAGCAGGGGAAGGTTGTGGGGTTATCGTGCCAGTTGACCTCACTGCAAAAACAGCGTCAGCAGCAGGAACCAAGGGGTTTAGTTTAATCGGGCAAAGCTTACACGGAGCAAAGAAATGATTTAAAAGCAGGTCTGCAAAATCCTTCAGCTCGTGAAGTAAACTATCATTTAACTCAATATCCTCAGTGCTGTCGATGTCTATCTTTATAGAGGCGAAGAAGAAACGTAGTATCATATCTTTCGATAGCTCAGACCGTGCAAATTCATATGTATAGCGAATCAGCAGGTGAGGTTTGAATTTTGCACTGGAGCTGACGTGATTGCCGAAGTATTCGATGGCCTTCTCGAACCTCCTGTGAGCGTGAGACCGCTGATCTACAGTCAGAGGCTCTTCGGCAGAGAAATCAATCCCATTTTCGAAGGAAGTTTGATGATGCTGGTGGGGTTGTGCCGGCATCTGAGACTGTCCAGGGAGATCGAAGACGTCTTCATACGACGACTGGCGTCGATGTTGTGACGCCATCTCCAAAAATTGAACAGTAACAGCAAGGCGAAGGCAGACGGTTGTTGGCGATCAGGCTGTGCGAAGATTAAGCCAATAGTCAAAGTAGTGAGCGTTAGAACCACCAGTTGTTAACGCCGTGCACCTACGCAGCTCTAGACGTCGTCACTTCATCTGTCTCTGTGTACTCCGTATGTAAATCTTAATAAAATATAAAAGTGCGAATTTTACTCAGAGAATAAATGATAGTAGCAGAGTGGCGCCTCTGGTTGTGACAAAGACAATTGCAGGTTATGTACCTTCTCGAGTATACCCAAGCAAGTCCTGCACTTGTTTGCACTGTCTTCCAATATGAAGGTGTCCGTCGCGGAGAGCCGTCAATTGTCGATTATCCTCATCAAAGAGGACAAACTGCGCCCATCTTCCTACCGTCCGTCTTCTTGATTTCGGACTGTGTAGGATGGATATAAACAATTATCTAATAACGACTCTCTCTGCAGCCAATCATTAACTAGGGAGTGGGATTGCCTGGAAGGGCAGGAATCCACTGACACGGGACACGTCGAGAGTTGCCATGGTCACTGCCGGGCATGTTCTTCGTAGCAATGGTGAGCCCAAGACTCCATTCTGTAGAATGATGGTCTAGTAAGGGTATTTATGAAGGATAACTTCATCCTGCCTATCACTAGGGAAGGTTAGCTATTTGCTTAGATGTCATGATTAACTAGTAAATAGAAATATAGGCTAGCTACCGGTTCAGCCCATAGGGTGCCTGGGCTGGGCCATATTGCTCATAAAAGCTGTGCCCCTTTTCCATTCCAATTGTAGCGAGGTCAACATTTTGTCTCGGAACAGGCCTATAAACATGCCTACCTGCAAACCACAGAGTAACTTGGACAGTGTAATAGTAGAGAGAGAAGACAAAATTTCATAACCGAAGGGGCGAGCGCGCGCGAGCAGGGTCGATCAACCTCCTCTCGGGTTGGACATGGCTTTCATATGACGCCAGTAATCCAAGAGGTCCCTACGGGCTCTTGTTATAACCTCGACCTCCATCTCATCATTTCTCGGCAAACAGAATATCCTGTATAATTTCTTTTGAGCCTCCGAGAGCGCAGCTTGAGTGGACACACGGATGTTGAATCCCTGAACATATAATGCGGTAACGCGGGACCAGCTCACCATAACTATAGCCTTCTGTGACCTGAGAGTTGTCTCGGGTACGGCAGCACACACCACCACTTAAGGATGGGGCTCAGAAGCCCAGTATGGAATGTCGCTGCCAACAGGCGACTCGGGTTGCACGGGCTCGGGAGCAAGCACACCGACTAGTGACGATGGGGAGGATTGGTGCTACGGCGGACTAAATGAACCATCGGGTCAAAATTCGTTTTAACGCTGTAATACGTAAATGCCACGCAACCAATCAAACAAAATATATTTAGAATCAGGAGAATTCGATTAATTAATCTAAGCTACTTATTTTTCTTAACTAACGGGCCTAGAGTATATCTAATTATATACTCCTTAATCTTCTATATAAACTACATATCCTTTAACTAAATAGTAATATGGCGGGTATAAATCGCTATAAGGTTAGCTACTATATTAATTATAATAATATTAGTATCTAGTAAATCTATAAATATTCAAGGTAAAAGGTAGTTATATTTACTTTTAAACTTATTAACTAGGAAAGCTTCAGTCACTTCTTGCAAGGTTTCTAATACTAAAGTCTGAATTCTAAAGCTAGTATTGTAATTTGACATTATCTCGTGTATCAACCGCCGAAATGGTAGTTTAGGGATAAGTAATGAAGTAGTTTGTTGGTACCTAGTATTTAATTCTGGTCAAAGAAATCATTCACCTAGTCCCCGAGTCACTGCTTTGGTTGAATTGAATGTTTGTCGAGTTGTATGCAGACAACCGGTAACTGAATCCGTATATCCGTTTAATTTTTGTATACTCTCTTGGTCACCGACGGATTCCAGGACTTTCAAGTACTGCCAAATGAGAATGGGGTCTGTGGTTTTTGGCTTGGGACTGAACAGCAGCCTCTTGAGATGCACGCCCAGGCACCTCGACCCAGGCACTTTAGTTGACGACGAGTCTTCCTCCTCACCCTTATTAATGTCCTCCTCTGAATCTGTAATTCTTTCTTTGGACTTTAATTTAATAGTAGATTGCTTCGTTTTTTGCGGCGATCTCGATAAAAATTGACGGTAAAAACGTGAGGTAAAAAGGGAGTGCCGCGAACTTAGCCGGTCTGAGTAGAACGATCAGACTGCTAGAGACTTCATATGTATATGCGATCATCCCGGTCACTTCAAGTCTCCCACAATAAGGCTCTGACACTATGTAGTTGACTAGAGCAGGCCATGATCGGCTCGAAAGTATCATCTATTGAACAACGGCCCTGGCATAGTGTTGTTGAATCGATTAAGCAGAAAGTACTAAATGAGACCAAACCGAGATGACTGCCGAGGAGATTGATGAGCTCTACAAACAACAGACCAAACAACAGACTGCTAGGGCCGCCCTTTCGCTCATTGCTCGTAGGAGTAGCAATGTTGTTGGTAATGATATTGGTTGTTTTTGCCGTTTGCAGCTCATTGGAGTGTGATGAAGGTGAGCATAACTATACTAACAAGTTAGTTAGTCTTCTCAGACCCTGTCTTGAAGTAACTAACTAGTGATTCGTTGCATTTCGTTTCCGCCTCAAAATATCTTCCCTCCCTTGTTAAGTCTCTCGCAGACAGGCTTGTTTACGGGGTACAACAGCTCAAGGCAGCTAGCTCTGAGGACATCGGCTTCCGTTTATAGTATTGTCCAGAGACAGCGCCGTATAGCCGTGAGGGGACACATCCGTACTTCCTCCTAAGTCAGGTATTGTAGTTGATGGGAGAAACACTTATGTCGGTCCAGTAATGGTCTGTTAAGGCTGGTCTTAGGCTGAGGACCTGGGCTGTTTTGTTCAGGCCGCATGCGTCGTTGATATTTGATGCAACTCTTCCTCTTTATATGCACTTTTCTCGAGACAGGACGGAGTATAAGTGGCAAAAGAAGTACACTATCCGGTGCATATGTTCTTGGAGTCATTTTGTTGGTCAGGTGTAATAATGGCATAGGTAACCTGCGATGCGTCCCCTTCGATGCGACGTTCGGGTAGTTGGTCTGTAATGCCCATAATCCAAAAATGCACATCCGTAGTCCCGTCATAGATATCGGGTTCGCGGGGCTTCACCTTAACGGTCTTGTCGGTGAGTTCAGCGCGAAAGAAAGTTGTAATAGCCGGCTGGCTGGGAGGTACTTTGTCTGCCTCTTTATTGGTGTTTGAAGTTTCTGGGTATACTTGTGGATGACTTGCTTTAGTCCTCGTAGTAGGAATGGAGAGCAGGACTGGGATGTTTGTCGCAGTTCTGCGCCTAGCTTTTTCCAGGACCAGTGGAAGAATGGTTGCAGTGCTTCTGACACCTCCTGAAGTCGAAAGGCTTCTTCAGCACCCCTAAATTGTTCGAATGGAGTAGGGGGGTGGGGGCAGATTGCTTATCACCAGTCATATACAATCGAACAGAATTAGCCTATATTCAACACCAAAAAGGGGGATAATATCTAGCACAAATACTTACCACAATTCGCGAACGGAGCATTTCCGGACACAAGCTCCGGATCTCAGCAAAAGATCTCGGTGTCAAACTTTTCGGCCGTTGCACGCTGGAAGAGAGATTCCTAGATGGAGCATTATTTCTCTAGTATCTTCTGGGTCTTCAGATCTTAGGGAATAAAGCACGGCGGGCTCATAGCCTCTGCTAACAAGAGTCTCTGGATTGTGCAGGGTAACTATCTGGTAGTCAACTTGGGCTGGGGCTCAGGTTGAGATTTTATAGCCATGCCCGTCAACCACTTCTCAGAAGTGAATATGCTGGCTGAATGAATCCTTGAGATCTTCACTCAACCAGTGAATCACTTGGAACATGATGACCTGGCACGGCCAACTACTCTGAAGCCGGCCCCTGGATACCAGCAGCTGCCGTCATGAAAGAAAGCCGGTCAAAGACACCATGCGCGATCCCGTAAGCGATCACCCGCAGTCATACACCTCCGGCTCTTCCTAGGCGGAAGCTCCTCTCAGAGACACGGCTACGTGTTTCCCGTAAAGCCAGTGGCAATCAAAGCGGTCTATCAGGCTGTTTGTTGCTGCAGAGTCCCGGGTATTCTTCCTCCCTTCGTATGCTCCATCCCTGGGTAACTCGCCAGCTGGCGCACTGGTTAGTTAGTTACATCTATGTCAGGGCGGACAAGTTACAGGCTCCCTGCATCTTAGTCAACAGCCAGCCGGTTGCTAATGATTGAAGCAGTCCTGGAAGCGAGGAGTTTGTATCGTCAAATTCAGCCAACAGAGGGTCCACACTGGTTGGTTAGGTTAGGCTAAGTTAGGGTTGGCCACAAAGTTGACTTGCGGCCGAAGTCCAGATTTCGAGCTTATTTAACTGGAGTTGACTCTCTTCTTCCTCGTATGGCCGTCTTTCCGTGGTGAAACTCATCCACAAGCCCGTTTCTATCGGTCGAAGAGATCCAACAACGGCCTGACATCGTTGATGAACGGCAGCCTGGGATGCGGAAACTTCACTGCATCCCCATCTGGGGCCCGCGGTAACTAGTTGACTGGTTACACAGATGTCTTCAACATGATGGGCTACGAATGCACGTACTTCTTCCACCGCGAGGCTTGTAGCTTGCCAGATGCGTCGAGAATTCCATACCCCGAGGATGAAGATCCGGTCTGGTAGTTAGTTACCTGTTACGCCTTCTTTAGTCAGCGTGGCTGATGCCCTGGTAGATGCATTCAACTGGAAACTCAACATTGGAATCCGTAAAAACAACAGCATTGAGCATCTTCGGCTTGCCGAGAGAGATGTCAGATTTAATGTCGATGCCTTGAAAAGAGTCGCTGCCAGAGCTGTCGGGCGTGACTCGAGGACCGGCACCACAAAGCTTCCAGAAGGCGACTTCAACATCTTTGCGCTGTGCTTCGCTCTAGTAGTTAGTTAGCTATTAAGTAACTTTGTGTCAAAACTTCAGCTCTGCCTACCATTAGTGTGGGCTCACTCCTTTTGGTGTAGCGGCAGACTTTGACACTTTGTTAACTAGCTAGTTGTGTTTTATGTCAGGATTAACAAGTCCTCCTCTGTGTTAGTAGAACTCGCAAATGGCTCATGCTCCCTTTGGGAACATGGGGCAGAAGGCCTTTTTGTCCCATGGTCCTGTGGTTCATGCTTCGCAGAATCAACAAATATAATCTAACTAAAATACTCATTCTGCAGCGTTATTTATCCCTTCCACTGACTTCCTCATACACAATTGTATGTGCCCATTTAGGGTAGCAAACCTTCAGTTCTATAAATGAGTAATTATTTGGTAGTTTTGCAGTGGTTAAAGTCTGCTGTCGAGATATATACATCTTGATTGGTAACACAGAACAATTGCTTACTACCGTAGACACTAACATTCAAGACGCAACTGGCACAAAAGAGAGACACGTCTTGGGGAAGGAGATGTACCTAGGCGAACTAATTAATTTTGATATAGTATTAAGGTTCTGCTGCTCCTACTTACTATCAATGAGTTCCAATAGCATTGATCGCGTTGGTTGCCGCTTCTTCAAAAATTTCGGCGTTGGGTTCGGTATCAACAGCAATATACATTGTGGTGATTACTGCGTGGGTTCCACCATTCTTTTCACGCCATTCCTTGATAGTAGAAGGTATTTTACCCGCATTGGGTTGAAGTTGGTACTTATCTCACTCAACATTTCGTAGGTGCTGACTTACTACGGGGCGGTATACTTAAGAGCCACTATGACCCCCTCAGTGAGAGCAGTGCGCGCGCACAATTTTCATTACAACTATCTTTTACCCTCTACACTGACCAGGAAACACGCCCTGAATCCAAAACTCCCGCGTCAGTCTAGGACTACCCCCGTGTTCGCGATAAGACGACACACCTCGACAATGATATCCGAACGCGACCTGTTCACGTATACATCCGGCCGTTACCTTTATAACGAGAAGCTTCGCCTTGCCGAGAGATATGTCGAGTTCAATGTCGAGGCGTTAAAAAGGATTGCTGCTAAAGCTGTCGACCGAGACTCAACCGCCAGTATCAAAAAGCTCGCAGAAGGTGGTTTCAACAGAGTGTTTCTTCTTACTATGAATGATGGCTTCGAGGTCATTGTGAAGATACCGTATTTGCTAGCAGTACCACAAAAACTGACTACCGAAAGCGAGGTTGCTACTTTGGACTTTTTGCGGGGGAAAAGCATACCCGTTCCCAAGGTATATGCTTGGTCATCCGACAAAGAGAATGAGGTCGGAACCGAGTATATCGTTATGGAAAAGGCTACTGGTAAACCATTGACCGATCGATGGTTTAATATCACTCCCAAAGAGATGTTGAAGTTGGTGACGAGTTACGTGGATATCGAGAAGAAGCTTTTTTCGTTTCCATTCGCAGCTCACGGAAGCTTGTACTATAAAGAGACATTACCCCAGAATCTTAGGGTTGATCTCTATTCGCCGGGAGAGCTAGGAGATGACAGGTTTTGTATCGGCCCCGTCACGGATTACATGTTCTGGAGTGGAAAACGTGCAAATTTTGACTTGAATCGAGGCCCTTGTTAGTAGTCCGACTGCAGATGGTATGACTGTGACGTACTAATTGTGTATATAGGGCAAGATCATTGTCAATACCTACAAAGTATTGGTGAGCGGGAAATAGAATGGACTAAAAAATTTGGCAAACCTCTGATGAACGACTTTCCCCACAATGCTCTGGAAAACATACCACGCGAGATATCGCAAGATGTCTACATCGACTTGCTCAAAAAGTATCTATCCTTAGCTCCATATATATTGCCTCAAGATCCCACCGACCCTATGAATAAACCGACTCTGCGTCACCCAGGTACGTTCTCTTGTGCGTCGTATTTACTGGCAGAGCTAACGAGGGTAGACCTTAACCCAAGCAATATCTTTGTTTCTGAAGAAGGCGAAATAACCTGTCTCATTGACTGGCAATATGCTGCTGTCCTGCCACTTCTACTGGTCGCAGGGAATCCACCAATGTTTGACAACCCAGACTCCGAACCACCAAAAGATCTGGAGAAACCATCTCTACCGCCAGACTATGATACCCTAAGTGCAGAAGAAAGGGAGCACGCGGATGAACTCCACAGACAAAGGATGCTTTTCTGGCTGTACATGGTATTCAACGGAAGAGACAACAAACCTCACCTCACAGCTCTTCGGTACCCATTGCTGATGCCGCGACAGCACCTCGTTGACAGAGCAGGACGCCAATGGACTGGGAACTTTATCACCTTGAAAGGTGCGATTCTTAGGGTGGTTTCCAATTGGCATATAATTCTTGGAAAACGTGCAGGAACTATTGAATGTCCTGTCAATTTCACTAAGGAGGAAGAAGAAGAGTTCTATGCTATCGAAGAGCAATGGTTTCAATTCAACATTCTAACAGAACATTTGCGTTCAAAGTTAGATCATCTAAGCGAAGATGGCTGGGTGAGGAATGAATCATACGATAAAGTAGTTGCCTTGAACAAAGAGTTCAAGGAAGAATGGTTGGCTCGGGGAGAGGATGATGATGACCGGTTCCTTGTTGAGAAAGGTTGGCCGTTCCAAGATCATGAGGAGGTCGACTAATTGTTTGATTGGTAATACCCGCACATGATGAGTTTGGCTGCGTAAATAAAGGTTTGCTTCCTGTCGTCCGTCGTCCGTGGTTCTGTTCTTCAAAACGAATTTTTGATAGAAGTTATTTGTTGTAAATACCTTTCGCTAGTTAACCCTCGGGCAGTAGTGAACTTGGATACCTGTCCACATATCCTGCACCTAATCTGTACAATATGCAAGACCCATCTCCTGAAATTATCCTAATATTATCCACTGAAGATGAAGTTGATATTGCTTGCTGTTGATGTTGTTGTTGCCGCTTGATGTTGAAATCGTTGTATTAGTCATATCGCCGAACTTTATCCGGCCCCGCGGTTGTGCCTCGGCAAATCTGATAACAAGCGACGTCGATTTCTAAACAGCCTGCAAGAAACGACACTTCACCGCCGTCGACTAGATATTTTACGCATCTACACTTGTTGCACCGGTTAATTCGACTCTGCAGTTCTCCTTGTCTGCTTATCCCATAATTATATCTATCTCGGAGCTCGGATTCGTCAGTTTACTGCTTTCCCAGTGGGCATGACGACATAATCGCTACATCCCCGAAGGAGAATTGCCGCCTATAAACCGGGCATAACTTGGACACGCCGTATTTTATTTATTTTCTCTATGGTATTTTTTAGAGAGAGCACTGATACGATACCAATTTCGTTAAGGGTTAGGCTTGAATAACTTATCGCCTGCTTTCCGCATCTGAACGTGAGTGTGACATGACAATTCTCAGGGTTGAGGAAACCCTCAAGCCCTATCCCATTATCTGCCGCGTTTTCCAACCGGCTATCCTTATGTGTATATATATACTCCGTATGTCGATCTCAATCGCTTATATATCTTTGTAGAGCTCAATTTCGATCCCCAGGAGCCGGTACCCCTATAATAATTTCCTGGAGTATACAACAGCCCATCCATACCTGGTATAGATTTCTTCAGGAACGTCCACAATCATGCATGCTATCACAATTACAAGCGAGGATGGCAAGTTCGGGAAGCCTGGGCAAGTCTATTACCCACTCTCTCTCCGTTCGGTCCCAATGCCAACTCCAAAAGGGACTGAACTGCTCATCAAAATCACCGCAGCCTCACTTAACCATCGGGACCTCTTTATACGAAAACACTTATACCCAGGGACCTGTTTCGAAACGGTCCTACTAAGTGATGGAGTTGGTATTGTGGCTTCGACAGGACCGGATGTGCCCCATGCTCAATCCTGGGTGAACAAGCGGGTTATTCTGAACCCTGCCACCGGCTGGAAAGATGCCCCCGATGGGCCCGAGAGCGCCACTGGATTCAGAATCATGGGAGGCACAAGCCTGTATGACAAGGGAACCTTACAGGAATACATCACCCTGGACATGAGTGAGGTCGAGGAGGCGCCGGAGCATCTGTCTGATGCTGAAGCGGCGGCTCTGCCGTTGACCGGGTTGACTGCTTGGAGAGCACTCGTGACCAAAGCTGGTGAAGCTAACTCCAGCACCGGAGCTGCCATCTTGATTACCGGTATTGGTGGAGGTGTGGCGCTGATGGCTTTGCGCTTTGCGGCGGCAAGGGGAGCGGATGTATATGTCACAAGTTCTAGCGAGGAGAAGATTAAGCAGGCTGTCGAGCTCGGAGCTCGTGGTGGAGTGAACTACAAAGAAACGGGATGGGAAAAGAAGCTGATGGGCATGTTGCCAAATGGGAAGGCTAAATTCGACGCTATTATCGACGGTGCGGGCGGGGAGGTCGTTGAAAAGGGGGTGAAGTTGCTTAAGGTACGTCTTTTTTTCTTGTTATATATGCCCACTTCAAGCTACGGGTATTTCAGAGCCCACACCTCCTTATTCTGCCTTGCCGGGCTTGTGAGGTGAAAACACACCTTCTCTCCTATTTACCGCTATGTTCTCTCTATATCGTGGCTTGATATGATATAAACAATTACGCCCCGAAAGTCTAAACGGTGTGGTCAACCGCAGAGTGGACATGGCACCAAGGCGCTGTGGTCGGGCTCTTTTGCGCCTCCTCTGATAGGCACATATCGACGTGATTCAGCCGAGTGGCTCTATATAAGCTTCAATTAAGGCCCGTTGCTAACGTTTCACGTTTCACACTTACCTTTTAGGACGGTGGAATAATCTCCATTTATGGCATGACGGTTGGCCCAAAGATGACATGGTTAATGCAAGCCGTGATGAAAAACATTGATCTCCGGGGCACTACAATGGGCTCTAGGAAGGAGTTCAAGGAGATGGTGGACTTTGTCAAGGAGAAAAAAATAAAGCCAGTCGTGTGGAAAGTTGTCCAGGGCATTGACAACCTTGACGGTATCAATGGCTTGTTCGACGATATGCAAAAGGGCAATCAGTTCGGCAAGTTGGTAATCGAATTTGGCGATTCAACTGGAAGCAAACTGTGAGAGGCATGGATAGCTAAACCCCGGACACTCCTTGACCGGCGTCTCCGTGAGGGAAAAGGGGGATGGAGCACGATAGTTAGTTACTCGTAGCACCTTGGCTAGTTCGTGAGCAACATCACCAACACCACCAGCCATAGTATCTAAGCTAGCTAAGTAACTAACTGCTAGCTCACTTGCCATGGTTAAGAAAAGAAGTAATCAATCGATTTTCTTCCCCCCTTACGCCCACTTCGTTTTTTTTTTTTTTTACCCAGTGAATCAACGAGACCAGTCCATCGTTCTAGCCTCCCCCCAGGATATTTTCACAAAAAGAAAGCTGCAGGACGGGTTGCGTTTGCTTCCGCGCGTGGAGAAAGCTCTGAAATGAAACGCAATATCAAGGGACCTGTATAGACCAGGGGTAAGCTCCAGCTTGGCTCTCCGTCCCCAACGCATTCTACGCTACGATTGCCCGACCTCGAATGGGCTTCAACACACGCCGCATCATCACTGAAAATCACATAATCTCCGAGCATGAACTAATTTACCGCCCAGTTCGTTATACGAGAAGCTAAGACCTGCGAGCACTTCATGTTTTCGCAATATCAAACGGCCAATATACAGTCCGTGCGGCGAGGGGGGTTGTTGATTGCCCGTCCTGCCTGGCTGTTTGCCTGCAGTATGGTCAATTCGCCCGAATGAAAGGTCGAAGAGGACTGACGCTGTGTCCACCCGTGACCCCTTGGCCCGTCTCTTTCATTTAATTTACTTCATGCTACCGGACCCAAAATGCACCAAAATGCGATGCAGGCAGATCACCGTACCCTTGATACGCCGGAAGCAGATCTTGACGGGGAGAAGGGTGAAAGAAGAACCGCGGGCTGCATGAGACGCAAGATCTGTGTATGTATGTCGATCATGGGCGGGTAGGGGAGTTTAGGAGCTGTCCCCGGAGCTCTCAGAGCTGCCGGAGCTTGCTCGCTTGCTTGCTGCTCAGAGCTTGACATGTGTCGGGTGCTTCGTTTGCGTGTTCGACGGTGTACGCCATCCTTTTAACCCCTTTTTCTGCTCTGTCTTCTCTTCGTCACAGGACATGAAAAGCAGGAAGCCGAAAGCTGATGAGGGTGAAATTTAGAACTATGGATCTGCCCCTGGATGGAGTCATAAGGTCAGTATGGAGTACCGACGGGAAGGTCGTGGAGCGAAAATGATGCAACGTATCGCACAGCTTGCATTCAAATCGTCCTGGACACAGCAGAGAAGGAGAGGGAATGCATAAGAAAAAAGTGGACGGGGCCTGCATGTCCATCGAGTATCCGTTCCACCCAATTGCCAGGGGTATAGAGTGCATCTCAACATTATGACTGTTATTCGTTAGTTATCTCGGGGGGAGGGGATTTTGTTAGCCTCGGATATGTCAACAACACGGAGTATGGGTTAGCTTCATCAGCGCTGTAACTTACCTTGTGGCCCATGATTCCAGCAGTTCATACTCGGCGCTCTTAAGCGAACGGAAATGGAGCCCCGACCGCAGTTATTAACTATTTACAAGGGCTACCCACCTTGGAAGAAGTTTGGAGAAAAAAATCATGAACCTGGCCACGTCTGCTCTTGTTCATATTTTTTTTTCGTTCATGCAGGCCAGTTTGCTTATACTTGGCGTTAAGTAACGGAAAAGCACAACGTCCGTTTCAACAAGGTGTCTGTACATTTTCCTGAGATTCTGATTTCCGGCTGTGATCTTCTCCAGGGCAAAGGAAAGTATGTACAAGGACAGGCGTGGTCTTCGCTCTGGTGAAAGGAGTTCGCAGGGTGCAGCCAGCAACTAAGTGACTTGGAAGATGAAACGCCAATTTCCAGCTGAACAAGGGGAATCCACAGGGAATTGGGGAGAAAGAGGAGGATACAGCGAACAAATGCACGACAGCAATGCGGAGTATGGAAGCGTGCTACAGAGTTACCTTATGCTGGATATGTGCGTCTGGGGCTTGCTAACTGTGCCCCAGTCGGCACACATGTATCAAGTGTAAATATACGGAGGAGGCAGTGAAAGGCAGTGGGATGTGCTTACACCGCTTGATACATTTAGAGGAATGGGGGGAAAAAAGGAAAGATCGGAAACGGGATAATTAATCTAATTGCTCCCGAGCAGCCTAATATGGGTTGCGAAGTGCAAATGGAGGATGGGATAAGGCCCCGATGTCAGTTTCAAACACCTCCGTACCTCTCAAGGGAAGACAGCAAGTACCGTAAAATCGGCCTGGTTTTGTACATACATCCATTTTGGATGACCACGTTGCACAAGATAGCATTTCCTCATCCATTGAAAGTTAGCCAGGCATGGGCTAGTTCGGCCGGTGACAAGCTTGGTAAGGCGTGTCCTCCGTACGGAGTACCGAGTCAGTCAATTAGGAGAAATTATATATAGAAAAAGTGTCTGACAATTATCCGCGATAATCGTAAATCCTGCTTGATGACAGAAAGCGTTTCGGGCCGAATGATTCGCCAGCACGGCCGTTGGGAGATAGGGCAGAGGGAAGATCCCACAAATGCCATCATCCCCTCGTATGCTGCGCCTGTCGAACAAGAAAGGGCAGTGAAGTCATCTTTAAGGATGCCAGAGGAAGCATGGGAAAGAAGAAAAGAAACGCCAAAAATGCTACCTCCCTCTCTGGCGGTTCATCGAAGGGTTCCATCTGGTGTATTTAGAGTTTGGCTATCCGAACAAGCGAGAGGTGGAATGACAGCACGGTCAAGCGACGAGCAACCAGACGACTCGCCAGCGAGCAGGCTCCAGTATCAGGGCTGTGCATGGCAGAGCATGTATTTTTTTTTATGCTGTCTCTTCCGTTTCTTCGGCCTCTGATTGGTGAGAATTTGGCCAAGGTCAGCTAAAAATAACAGCGGACAAGCTAAAAACTAAAAATAGCATATTAGCTAAGCACCCTTTTTTCGGTCCCAGAGTTGAAGAACCGGCAGCCAGACTACGAGAACCAACAACCACCGACGCGGGAGACCCAACGCCAGACGATGACAGACAGCCGCTTAACTACGCGATGAGAATAATAGCGTGGAATAATATCAGGAAGATTGGATAGCCAGCAACTGCGAGAAAGAGCTATTATAGTGGAATAATGAGAGTTATGCTGCATCTACCTTTTATGTATGCTGCATGCAAGCAAGTATGTGCGACGTCGGCGTGATCACACTGTAACGGTCGACCACCACCCTTTGCTGGCCTTGCAGAAAGGGGTGTGTATGGGTGATTCGGCAGCCAGTAGCGAGCCACGGAGATAAAAAGAGACATTCTGGCACACGAAGCCCAGGGATACTGATTATTGTCCTGATGGATTGGATCGACGGCCACAGTAGTAGTAGTAGTCGAAGTGATACCTGAGGATCTCCGTACCTCATCGCAGACCTCAGCTTCTTTTTGCTTCTGTTGGGATGCAGCAGTGTGCGGTGGTGGATACTGCCATGCACGAAATGCTCCATGCACAGAACAGAACACCAGCAGCCAGCCCATCAGGAAAAATAATTATGACGTCCAGCAGGGATCGAGGAAGAAAGCCACCGCCCACGCTGATCCCTGAGAGCAACGGCTCCTTCAATGGACCCTTATCCGGGCTGGGTGGGCTGTCTAGTCAACTGGCGGTTCTCCATTACGCCCACCATAGAAGCCGTCTTCCAAGTAATTACTGTTATTGTTATCATATTTCTCCCAGCGCTATAGCTGCTCCTGTATCCGCACAGCGTACTCCGTACAAGGCCTGCCATGCCATGCTGGCGCTCCCACTCTATATCGAGCAGCGCTATTATACTCAAGTCGCAGAGTGGAAAGCGCAAAAAAGGCGAAACGCCGGCGGTGTTACTAGCGTGCAACCCGCGAGCGTGGGTAAAATGCCAATACCGGCGTTACAGCAGCTCGGTGGCCGCTGATTGGCGCGTGACCGTTCTCATGTGACCTTCTTCGTCATCCGCCTGCTGTGAACTTACGGTATCGCGTGTATCGTTATGTACCGGACAGGGCAGGCGCACGGCGGAGGACCCACTATTCGCCGCTTCGGGAAGGGGCCATGCTGTCCTGTGGGTCTCGGCGCTAGTCCCGATCAGGCGCCAGCGGGGGAAGCCAGCGCCGGTAACTTTGGTAACTTTCGTCACGCTGGTACCGCTCTTTTTTTTTTTTCCCTTCGCTCTTTCTTGTTCGTTCCTTCCCTTTTCTTATCACGCTTAAAACAACTTCTCCTCCTCGTTTCTTTTGACGTCCTCCTCTTCCTCTCTTCTCTTCTTCTTCTTCTGCCTTCGCTTGCTATCCTCACGCTTCCATCGTTTTGATTCTCTCGTTTACACCGTCCTCGTCCTCACCATTCTCCTCGATATCAGCTATCAAACACACTCGCTCCTCTCACGAAGTTACGCTCGCTAACCCGGTTGTCCCCGTCGTGTTGTTTTTGTCCCTTGTTTTCCGTGCCCTGCTGCCAGCCCATCCTCCACCCAAATCCGACAATACAGAAAAAAAAAAGAAGAAAAAGAGAGAGAGGGAGAGAGAGACCGCTGCTCCTCTGTTAGCTTCCCTTGACCAGTCTCACCCTATTCATCGCCGTCGCTATCATTGTTCTGGGTCCATTTCGTTATTATCCATATAATCTATCGTTAATATCCGTCGCAACCGAGAGCCGCACCACTTTTTTCATTCGGTCGCTTCGAAACGCTCGGCCTGGGAGCTATATCTTATTTTATATATATAATTGAAAGCAAAGCAACCCTTACTCACGCTCTCCGGACAAGAAACGCCGAGTTCAAACTCGTCGGGTATCGGCAACCAGGCAGATATAATCTAGGCCATACCTCTCTGCCTGGTATATATCACCACCACCTCGACCATTCTCATCACCAACAACACCAACATCACCGACATCATCCTCAGTCTTGCAGTTAGACGCAGACTAGGGTTCCAGCTGAATTCCGTAAAGGTATTCATATGAAGAGGAGGATCTTGACGGGCCAACCTCTTATCAAGGTATGTCGCTGTTACGGCTCACATATCTCCCGTTTCACATAATTCCCTTTGTTGGACTCTCCCTGATCTTACATTGCCGTCTCTACATCATTTTTTGATGTCTTGAAGGTCCGAGACTAACTAAGTCAACAGGTATCCTGATTCTTCCGTGTGCAGCATTTGTCAATTTTATTGGAACGAACAGTGGCTTTCTAAGTCTCTAGCTTCTTTTCCTTTATTCTCTCGGTGAGTTTCTACTTGCTCGCTGCATCTACCCGATACCCTTATTTTTGCTTCTTCTCCGTCATGTTCGCCTTGAAGATCATTCTCCATACTAACCATAAAACAGCTTAGTTATTGCTTGATTTTTCCTTATTTTCACTTTTCTTTCACGGGTCAACCAAAATTTCCTCAAGGACCCCGTTCGACAAACTCATCAAAGGAACACAAGATCAGACATCTGTTCGATCTCAACATTCGCCTTGTTCCGTACAACCCTTCCCGTCTAAACTGACCGAACGAATTAGATCTACGAACTTCAGTTCTAGTCTTAACATCTTCATTCGTTCACCTTTGATCGGAAGTAATTTTTTTCAATGATTTTTTAATTTTAAAAAATCTCACCGTCACTCGTTTATAGTTCAAAGAACTACGTACCTGACCAGATACGCAGTTCTTATTAATTTTGTGCCTTTTGTTTTGGGATCTAGTCTCAGTCACTCGCTTTTAAACCAAACCGCGTTCCCGCTGCATACTCTGCAATACCGCCAATCTGGCTTACTCAAAGACTCACGGAGCTCCGGTATGTATTCCATCCCCTGGCTTCCCTCTTCTGGATATATCTGTGCATTTCCGGCCTGCTTGAGTCGTGTTTCTTCTCTTTCATTCGATTACTTCCTGGGCTCCTTGCTTTACACTTGCAGATTTCGGTTACCTGTCTGCCCGTGTTTCCCCTCTCCCCTTCATATTTACAGTTCGACTGACGTATATGGCCCTTCCTATTGTTACAGTTTGAGCTCCAGTCCCCTTTGATCTTCGACGAGTCTCTAGACTTCTCTGACCCAGAGGAGTCTCGATTCATTGGGGCCTATTCCGACAATCTGCTGGCCAAACCTGGTAACATCTTGTCCATGTCTGCTCTCGACAAGTCTCAGAAGATTGAGTTTTTAGGTGAGTCCCATTCCTCGTATCCATGTTATCTTCTCACAATGTTAATCATGTATAGATTCGGATGAAACTTCCAACGCCTTGCGTGAAACATCTGCTTTGCTCGCTTGCCCTCCTGGATCCTACGGAAATTCCATGTACAACCCAATGTTGGATGGAAGCTTTATCTCGGACGACGACAGCGCTAACTACGTTCAGAACAGCGTGTATTCCGGGTCGCCGTTCGACATCCGTCGTTCGCCCAGCCTGGAATCTAACTGCAACCCTGTTCCTGAAGTGACCTCATTCTCTCCTGCCGTCGGATTCAAAGGCACCAAGCTCTCTATCTACGTTGAATCTTTCTACGACTTGCTCAACCCTCCCACTTGGACTTTCTCTGTCCTTTTCGGATCCTGCCAGTGTGACTGCACCATCAACCCACTGTTAGTCGAGGAGTCTAGATTCCAGTACGTGTTGACCGTCACCGCCCCCACATTCGTGTCCACGGCTTGTGCCGGACTCTCTGTTCCTCTCCAAGTCGTTATCAACGATCAGGAGGCGTCGACTCAGCACTTTGCACGCATTGGATCGTTCACGTACGATCAAGAAGCAAGACAGATGTCCCCACGCAAACGAAGAATGTCTTCAGCCTCGGATGGTAGCACTGCTGCCTCCACCCACTCAGCTTCTGCCAAGCAAGTTCGAATCAATGATGGCGTTAAAGTTGAGCGCTTGTCAACGTCTCCTTACTCGCCTTATCTTCCAACGCCTAGCTCGATGAGTGGCTACTCTGGGCAGTACCAGCAGGTTCTTCCTCAGGGACAGTATGAACATCAAATTCAGATGAGAGCCACCGCTCCCTCTCCCCTTACGTCGTCTTGGAGCCCGTGTATCTCCAATGCTACCGCAATATCATGCAGTCCTCCAATCTCCGTAACTCCCATTGGCCAGGAAATGGAGGTTAACCATGGAAACCCGACCTTGGTCCGAACCTCGACCATTCAGCAGGCTCTTGCTGGGGCTCCAAATCCCAATGCGCCATTCAACCCTTATGCAATGTATCCAAGCAAAGCTGTTCTGAAGCTCAACGGTGACCTTGATGCCATGGCTCTTGACTGGAAGCCTGAAGAGTGTGAAGCCCAGCGCCGTCTGGTCCAATTCACTCGCCGCCAGGAAGGCAGTACCATCCATGCAGACTTCAAGCCAGTATCGCCTTCTGAGCGTGCCCCCAACAGCATCTGCATCAGCTGTATCCAGTGGGCTAGTAAGAAGGAGTGTTATGTTACCAGCGTAGATACTATTTATCTGCTGGAGTCCCTCGTTGGTGTCCGTTTCACCGTGGAAGAAAAGAACCGTATCCGCCGCAACCTTGAAGGGTTTCGGCCAATGACTGTATCCAAGGCTAAGCCAGACAGCGAGGATTTCTTCAAGGTGATCATGGGCTTCCCAAACCCCAAGCCTCGCAACATTGAGAAGGATGTCAAGGTTTTCCCCTGGAAGATTCTTACCCATGCCCTCAAGAAAATCATCGGGAAGTATTCTGCCAGCTACTCTTCCACGGCAGCGGCTTTGCCGGCACCGCTTCGGTCAAACTACTCAGGTAGCCCTAACATGTCCAGCGCAAGTCTTGTAGATGTTCGCGCTGGGTCTCCAGCCGGACATCAGCAGTCCGCCGGCGTTACCAACACTCTTCCATCTCACACTGCTCAACTTACCCCATCCAGCTACCTGTCTGTCATGGGCACCAGCGCTGGATCCCACCCAAGCTTGACCGCTGCGTACAACTACTCTGGCATACCTAATCGACACATCCAGCCGTCTCCAGTCATTGTTCCCAGCCAAGCCTCATTCGACTTTAGTGCATATATTGGTCACAACCAAATGCCAGCGTACCAGAACTCTTAAATCCGGGAAATGAAACTCTCACCTCAGCAATTGAACCCGGTCAACTTTTGTTCGTCGACTCCGCTTCTCCACCTTTCCGTTTCAGCTTACTCGTTTCTGCCTGCATAGCGAATTCTGCTTTGATTTCTCTCTTCCGTTTACCGTTAATTCGCCTAGTTTTGCGTTCCTTGTTCAGCATTTTTCGAGAGTTTGGGTCCCGTCAGTCACTCCTTACATACCCCGATGCCATCAGTTGTTGAGAGGTTGCCCCTTTTTTCTCTCCTCTCCGGCAAAAGAGAGAACCAAAGCAACTGTCTTACGAATTTCCTTCCGTCACTCCTTTAACGACCTTTATCAGAAACAAGCGTGGTGTTGGTTGCATATTGTTGATCGTCCTGATTGTTTTCACCGGAAAAGAAAAGGACTCCGCTTATTAGCCTGAGTCCTCTAATATTTGTGCTACTACTACTTTCCTTACTGCGCGATGCGTCGGCGCAAAATAAAAATCCTCCTGGGTTATGCCTTTCCTTTACCCCTAATGACGCACTAATCCTAATACTGTCCTTCCCTCAAACCTCACCACAACCACCGCCATCGGTACAGCAATACCTCCTCGCTCCGCTCCGCATCCCCCCGCCATCCTCACTTATCTCACCATCTCCCCGACTTTCCTTGTTCAAATACCACTTGTACAGACGTGCTTGTTTCTGCCCAAGGCCGTAAACCACAGCACACAGCAGCATTTTTATCCGCATTTTTGCATGCATAAAAAAGACTTCGAGTTGGGCTGGTTTCACTCCTTTTAGCATTGACTGTTAATGCGCTTTTTTCTGCCTGCGTTGAATTGTTTTATTCCGCATGGGTTACACTCCTTTTCTATTGTTATCGGTTATAGACAGAGCATTTGCATCGGATATGGGTACGGGACTACAGAACTGCTTTCTGTGATATTTTGCCATTGTTTCCTCGTTTTCTTTCCTGTTGCCTGTTCGTGATTTTAAAAAGGGAATTTGCGATCTGTTTTTTTTGTCTTGATTTTTTGTTTTTATCTGAGCTCGCTAGCAGAATTGTAATTTTGGATTTTTATTGTTTGATCGTTTTAGTTTTAGCTATTTTGGACTCAACCTTGGGAAGTGAAAGAAATAAATATATTGGAGTTTATTTGAAATATTCAACGTCCTGCTCGATTCAGCGCTGGTTTTGATATCGAACTCCACAATGTCCGCCCCATGCTATAAATAAACGCAAGTTGGTCTGGTCTTTGCGTGGGGCGAAATCTTAATTCGGGCTTATCAGAAAATTGAGTCAGCGCAAAGACCAAAAACTCCTCCCAGGCGACCATTCCCCCCTCGATTATTATTCCTCCCTCGAGGCAAAGCTCTCACGGATACGCAGCAGGCACGGCCTTTTATTCTCTACCCCTTGACCACTTGTCACTCGTATCAAGAGGTCCCTGGGCAAGCGGTTGCCCCACTACAGCTTTCAACGCTGGTCTCGCCAGACCAGGCCGTGCATACATATAGCTACCAGCATCTCCCTCAGCTGAGCCGAGCTGTTCTCAGGTATCTTCACCGGCAGCGACCTCGAACGACACAATAAATACAACACCATTCACAATGGAGCAAATAAAGGAGACATTTCGGAGATGCAAGGAGGAGAAAAGATCTGCTCTCGTGGCGTATGTCACAGCGGGGTACCCCGAGGCCAGCGAGACGGTTGATATCATCCTTGCTATGGAAGATGGAGGTGCAGGTGAGTTCTCCCGGACCATCCACATGGTATCTTAATCTTACCCAGTGTCTAACGAGTTTTTGGTGCAGACATTATCGAACTTGGAGTCCCATTCACAGACCCGATTGCTGATGGTCCTACCATCCAGCGCGCAAACACTCAGGCGCTTAAGAATGGAGTCACCGTCACTTCTGTTCTTGAGATGGTTAGAATTGCTAGGAGGAAGGGACTCAAGGCCCCTGTGATGATGATGGGATACTATAACCCTTTGCTACAGTATGGTGAAGAGAGAATGTTGAAGGATGCCAAAGCCGCAGGAGTCAACGGTTTTATCATGGTTGACCTGCCGCCAGAAGAAGCCGTTCGATTCAGAGATTTGTGCAAAAAAGAAGGGTGAGTTGCTTTCCGTTGGTTCATAGTCGGTGATAAGTGCTGACGTTGCGTGCTTAAAAGGCTCTCTTATGTCCCGCTGATTGCGCCGGCTACTTCCGAGGCCCGTATGAAACTTCTCTGCGGAATCGCCGACTCTTTCATCTATGTCGTCTCTAGAATGGGTGTTACCGGTGCCACCGGAACATTGAGCTCTGGATTGCCCGAACTTTTGAAGCGAGTGCACACATATTCCGGAAACGTCCCTGCTGCTCTGGGATTCGGCGTTAGCACAAGGGAACACTTCCTAGAAGTTCAGGGTATCGCTGAGGGCGTTGTTATCGGTAGTCAGATGGTGACTGTCCTAGGCGACGCTGCCCCAGGAGAGCGGGCCCAGAAGATCCGCGAATACTGTTCGAGCATCACAGGTCGAACTGTCCAGCGCGGCCCTGTCCCCGAAGCAGCCGATGAGCCAGGTCTTGTAGACCAGCTCGAGGCTCTTAATACCACCAAGAACCCTGCAGCTATCCCTGCACAGTTCGGCGAATTTGGAGGCCAGTTTGTTCCCGAGTCATTGATGGACTGCCTCGCTGAGCTGGAGGCTGGATTCAACGAGGCCAAGAATGACCCCAAATTCTGGGAAGAGTACCGCTCTTACTACCCATACATGAGCCGTCCAAGCAGTCTTCATCTTGCCGAGCGCCTGACTGAACATGCCGGTGGAGCTAACATCTATCTCAAGCGAGAAGATCTTAACCACACCGGCAGTCACAAAATCAACAACGCCCTAGGCCAAGTCCTTCTTGCCCATCGCCTTGGGAAGAAAAGAATTATTGCCGAAACTGGTGCCGGCCAGCATGGTGTTGCTACCGCCACTGTCTGCGCCAAATTCGGCATGGAGTGTGTCATTTACATGGGAGCGGAGGATGTTCGTCGCCAAGCTCTGAATGTATTCAGAATAAAACTTCTCGGAGCCTCCGTTATCCCTGTTGAGGCCGGATCACGTACCCTCCGTGACGCGGTCAACGAAGCTTTGCGCGCTTGGGTCGTTCATCTCGACACAACGCACTATGTCATCGGTTCAGCCATTGGAGCTCATCCTTTCCCAACCATCGTCCGAACTTTCCAGTCAGTTATTGGAGAAGAAACCAAAGCCCAGATGAAAGAACTCACTGGCCGCCTGCCAGATGCTGTTGTCGCTTGTGTTGGCGGTGGAAGCAACGCTGTGGGTATGTTCTACCCCTTTTCCAATGATCCCAGCGTCAAACTCCTTGGCGTAGAAGCCGGGGGTGACGGAGTCGACACCGCGCGTCACTCAGCTACCCTTACAGGGGGCTCGAAGGGTGTGCTCCACGGCGTCCGAACATACGTTCTTCAAAACGAACACGGCCAGATCTCAGACACCCATTCCATTTCTGCTGGGTTGGATTACCCCGGTGTTGGGCCGGAGTTAAGTAACTGGAAGGATTCTGCTAGGGCCAAGTTCATTGCTGCCACTGACGCACAGGCTCTAATTGGATTCAAGACCATTTCGCAGCTGGAGGGTATCATTCCAGCCCTCGAGTCTTCACATGCTGTTTACGGCGCAATTGAGCTCGCTAAGACGATGAAGAAGGGTGAGAACATCGTGCTCAATTTGAGTGGACGAGGCGACAAGGATGTGCAGAGTGTTGCTGATGCTTTGCCTGAACTTGGACCCAAGATTGGCTGGGACCTGAGATTCTAAAAAGGCGGATGGACTGAGGACTTGGGATTTTTATAATCGGTCGATCGGATGATAGATGCCTTGACTTGGAATTACTTAGACAACAGATATATAATAACTTGGAAAATAAAGCTTTCGGGGAAGTAAATTGGGTATAATAGAATGATTATCGTTTTCTATCAAAATGAAGAGAAAAATCAAATATTCAGTTGACATACAACCGAGTTGGATAATAATTCGTGTGCCGTGTGATTAATCGCGACTTGTTAATCCCGAACGCCAATTTGTTAGATATCCATCCACACCAGAGCTCAGCTCGGGCTCCCGTTTCCATTATCCAGACCCAGACCGCCCAATATCCATACATAGTGAATTACACCTTCGTCTCTTTTGGCTCGATAGGAGACGAATCAAGCTCGACAGGGGATGAAATTGGAGTCGAATCCAGTTCTCGGGCCCGGTTCACAGCAGCACTTTTATCAATCTTCGTTTCCTTGCTGTCCAGTTCATTCGCTTCTTTGCTGTCTAGTTCACCTAAGACAACCGCTGCCTTTGGCCCACGAGGAGCAACACCCGCGGAATCTGGCATTTCTGAAATTCCGCTATCAGACGTATCCGGTTTTTCTCCCTGCGACTCTGATGCCTTGCGACGCCTAAAGAAGTATGTGGCTCCAAGGATAATTAACAGAGCAAAGACAGCGCATCCGGCAGCTACTCCACCGATTTGGGCACCGCTTAGACTTGTGTGCGCTGGCATTGGTACGCTTGAGGAAGTCGCGGAGGATGTGCTCGGTGAGCTAGTTCTGGAGGTCATAAAAGTTGAGGATGTCGTGGACATTGATGAAGTGTAAGGCATTGACGAAGTGGTGCTTGTACCATTATTCATATCGGCGAATTTGACACAGCAGCTGATATCGTTTGGCCCTGGGCATGGCCATGGCTAAGGACAAAGGTCAATCCATGCTCCGCAAACAGCTCTTGAGGGTTCACCTACTTTACCAGTTCCGGAAAAAAACTTGCCATCCTCACACCCGTTGTTCCTCATGCTTCTGCACACACCATGACCTTCACGTACATTGCAAACATGGACAAGACAGCACTAGTCTTTGCATTAATTTAGTGAAGATACTGAGAGTCGAAATGGCGTCGCACCTCAATACCATTCGTTCCAGGGTCACATATTCCCGCGGTAGATACACCCGGGCCTATCGGTCGTTGCATGTTAGAACTGCATTTTCTGGCTTTGTTTCTCGATGAAAAACAGTCATACAATTTGCTTTCGGGGTACATTCCCCCACCCCTTCGTTGGTAGTGCATGTATTGTTGTTGTCTTGAGTCGACTGTCGCCATGCCAGGCGAGCGCGAGCCCCTGAACTGAACAGCAGCATCCTAGCAGCTAAGGCAAACACTTCTTCAGTCTGAATCTGGCTCTGCCTAGAGCCCGCGTTGGGCGTCGATTCTCTAGGTTATATACTTTGACAACAAAAGGGGGAGGAAAGAAGAAGATTCCAAGGTCAAACGACAGCAGTAGATCTCCTCTCTTAAGACCTCTCAATGACGAGGCGGCCATTCGTATTTATGATCACTGAGATCCGCAACTGGCGGGCACCCTTTCCGCTTTGGTGTGCGGGCTGACAATCAACAGGTTGTTTCACTGATGCAACACTGGCCCTGGGCCAATAAATCGAGCGTTCAGCCTGGCATGGAGCCCAGTTGATTGGCGGTCGTATTTTAATCTTCGTTTTCCCGCCCTTTGGTGGTCGATCATCGGCTTGCTGAGCCTTGTTGCTGGAATACAACGCCAGAGCCGCAATCTAGCGGCCAAAAACCTTTTCTAATGACGGCGGCGAGCCTCCAAGAGGAGCTGCGGAGTCTCTCCGGCCTGACTTCACCCCCATATTCCATCGCTTCGTCTTCATGTCTGCTGTTGACGTTGAAAGTTGACGTTGAAGTAAACAAGAAGCGCCGAAGGTTATATATCACGTGACTATGACTAAGCAAAAGAGAGTTCGGCCTGTGATTGGTGGGAAGGCGGGAGCTGGGAAACGTCCAAAGTTGACGTCGTTTCGATGTTGTTGGTGGTGGTAGAGACAACCCGCCTCGCCTCGACCGCTCGAAGCACACACACACACCTTGCAACTTGGATATCGTTTAGGGCCGTCTCACTTTCTGACAGCCATGGCTCCAGGCATAGAAGACCGCCGGATGGCCTCCGTCCAGCCTCGGCTGAAGTACAACACCGTTGGTGGTGTCAACGGACCCCTGGTCATCCTCGACAACGTGAGCTCCCAGATACGCCGGCATCCCGATATGTTAGATGGCAGATATACTGATGATCCGGGCTGCAATACTTGCTATAGGTCAAATTCCCCAGATACAATGAGATTGTATCGCTTACGCTGCCCGACGGATCTGAACGATCTGGTCAGGTGCTGGAAGCTAGAGGTAGGTGTAGCAGATTCTGAGGCGGCTATACAGCTAGAACGTATGCTAACATGTCCGTTCACTACCAGGAAACAGAGCTGTCGTTCAGGTCAGCACGTCGACCTCAGCCTTGATATATCATCACAGATGCTGATTCGATGTGGTTTTACAGGTTTTTGAGGGTACCACAGGTGTTGACGTCAAAAAGGTGTGGTGAACAGGCTTATATCATAGCTCGTGTGCAGATCAATGATTGCTAACTTGATCAATAAAGACCAAAGTCGAGTTCTCCGGTCACAGCATGAAGCTAGGTGTCTCAGAAGACATGTTGGGTCGAGTGTTTGACGGATCCGGTCGTGCTATTGATAAGGGACCCAAGGTTCTTGCCGAGGAATACCTTGACATCAACGGCAGTCCTATCAATCCGTACTCGCGAGTGAGTGTCTCCACGATTGTGTCTATGTACCTACGGACATCATGCTAAGCCGCTTTTGCTCTAGGTATATCCCGAAGAAATGATTTCCACTGGTATCTCTGCCATCGATACTATGAACTCTATCGCCCGTGGACAAAAAATCCCCATCTTCTCAGCTTCCGGTCTCCCTCACAATGAAATTGCCGCACAGATTTGTCGTCAGGCTGGCCTGGTAAAGAAACCAACCAAGGATATACACGATGGCCACGAGGACAACTTCTCCATTGTCTTCGCCGCTATGGGTGTGAACATGGAAACCAGTCGATTCTTCACCCGAGATTTCGAGGAAAACGGCAGTATGGAGCGTGTCACCCTCTTCCTTAACCTTGCCAATGACCCCACGTGAGTTTACTGTCCTTCCCAAGACTCCGGATGCTAGGGTGGAGCTAATGAAATGGATGCAGAATCGAGCGTATCATCACACCTCGTCTTGCACTTACCACCGCAGAGTACTACGCTTACCAGCTCGAGAAGCATGTCCTAGTTATCTTGACCGATCTGTCAGCCTACTGCGATGCCCTTCGTGAGGTTTCGGCAGCCAGAGAAGAAGTGCCCGGACGTCGTGGTTACCCCGGTTACATGTACACGGATTTGTCCACAATCTACGAGCGTGCTGGACGAGTTGAGGGACGAAATGGCTCTATCACCCAGATTCCAATTTTGACTATGCCCAACGATGGTATTTTTATTATCCTATCTCTAGTCCGCTCTGTTCTTTCTGACTGAATATGGCACTAACTTGGAACTTCAGATATCACTCACCCAATTCCTGATTTGACTGGCTATATCACCGAGGGCCAAATTTTCATCGACCGTCAGCTTGACAATAAGGGTATCTACCCACCAATTAACGTTCTTCCATCCCTTTCTCGATTGATGAAGTCTGCCATTGGTGAGGGCCGAACCCGCAAAGACCACGGTGATGTGTCAAACCAGCTGTATGCCAAGTACGCCATTGGCCGTGATGCTGGTAAGCTCCCTTTCGCAAATTGAAACGCTGAAGCTGCAGTATCTGACAATAAATGTATAGCCGCCATGAAGGCTGTCGTTGGTGAAGAAGCTCTGTCTTCTGAGGACAAACTATCCCTTGAATTCTTGGACAAGTTTGAGCGCACCTTTATATCCCAATCTGCATATGAGTCCCGAACCATTGAGGAGTCTTTGGACCTTGCCTGGAACCTTCTCCGAATTTACCCCAAGGAGCTCCTCAACCGTATTCCCAAGAAGGTTATCGACGAGTTCTACCAGCGTTCCAGCAAAGGTCGGGCCAGACCAACCAAGGATACCCGGGACACTGCTGAGCCCGCTGCTCGTGCCGATAACAACCTCATAGACGCGTGAGAAGCACAATCTTCATCTAGTTTGTGTATGAATGAAGAGGAAATGGGCTAGATTTTTTGTTACTAATTTATCGTTTTTCTCGGTATTGTATCTAAGCATTCGATATTTATACGCTCACAGCAGTCATTCTCTACGGCAACAACGTTTCTTGGGATAATCAATTTCTTTCAAATCATTACATCTGAGATGCTCTATCATGTCTTCGATTAGATTAAAACTCATTAGGCGTGGTATATCTATGTCTTCCCCAAAATATCAATGTGCATGAATAGTGTCAAACTAGAAACTCAATATGGCAAGGAAGTCGTGGTGAGCGCTGCGAAAACGACTGTTATTAAGCCAACCAGGCCCGAGGAACCAAGCTGCTTCGTCCCCGACGAACGTTTAACCGAACGTTGCCCTATCATTGATGGTGTGCTAGTAGCAACATAGGCTTGGACCACACTCCCGGTCCAAGCTGCACCACCTTCCCCTTCTCTACTGGTAGGGGATGGCATTTTCCAGTCGGATTCAGACTCATACCAGATTCCATTGACAATAACCCCATCCCCACGAGCCAGTTTCTCCGTCTGCTCTTGTGAACAGGTATCTTTCACCCTCCGAAGGTAACAGGTCGGTTTAGCCATCGGAGGGGATGAATTGGTTGCCGTAGTATTTGCATCACCTTGTGTGCTAAACGTAGATATATCTACCTTCTGGCCAGTGGATAGGTCAACTGATCCCTGGACGATGCGCGAGAAGAGCGTGAAGAGTGTCTCCGGTTGGTAGGCAGATATCAAGTGGCCGGCGTCATATATTCGGGTGAATGATAGATTGCCGAACTGGCGAGTCATCCCCCCAACATAGGTATCGTTGATGATGAGGGGCGCATAGCCAGCGGCGTTGAAGCCGCTTAGATACGAAGAAGACGAAGCTGCAATTGAAAATGCGGTTGCCTGGCCACCCATCCAGTTGCATATGTAATCCCTGTCCCCATATATCAGAGCAATTCGTATTCCTTTATTCAGCAGCTTGGCTAGCTCTGAGACATAATCTCCCCGGTCATAGTCAGCTGTACCGAGGAAGGCGGTTGAAACAGTTGAGCTATAATCCGTAATATTCATCTGAGCCCCGATTGATTTCTGCACATCTTCCTGGTTAAGATATTCAAGGTATGTATGAGATGGAAATGGATCAAGGCTGCTCTGTGAGATATCATGGCTGCTACGCCCGAGTTTCGAGAATAAGTTGGGTGTTTCTGATAAACACGTAGAAAGCGCCTCTAGGCACTTTTTATTCACGACCTCTACGGTGCCTGTGTTTTCAGGGTCGGAAGCTTTAATTTCTTCTCGACAACCAATAACTTTATCTCGGCAGCCACCCGGCTTAGAGAAATTCGTCAAGAAGCCGTCCTTCTCTTCTTGTGTGATGGCGCTGATACCATAGCTATTGTTGTATGCAAAAATCGGGAAGTAGGGATTTTGAACAAGGTCGTCAATACAACCTTGCAATATTCCTATAGATTGAATGTTAATTCGAAGAGTATCCGTAGGAGATAGCCTCCCTTCTTTCAGCTTTGCATTTTGATTTTCGAAATAAGACACAAAATTTGGGGCATATTTTCCTCCGTAGCTCTCCGAAAATAGATGAATATTCGCAGCGCCCTGAGACACTGAGGCGTATTGTGGAAACTCCGCTAGAATAGCTTGCAGAACATGCCAAAGCGCTTTTGCAGCTGTGGAAGTGGTGTTTGTGGTGACCTGCACGTTATTCGAAGAAGTGATACCATCAAGCCAAGTGATTCTAGACTGGTTGGCTGGTGGCTCAGAAGGAGGAAACGTATATGTCGAATCAAGTAAGTTTAAGGAACCTTCTCGCAACCGGTCAAACGAGAATCCTGACTGCACAGGTTGGTCAATGTAGAGCATGTTACTGCTCCTGTCCCAGCCCCATTCTCTTGCGCGCGTTCCAAGTCTATTCTTTCCAATTTCAATAACCTCGCATGGTCCAGTCTCTTGAAACACGCCAACAAGGCTGGTACTTCCAGGACCTCCATTCAAATAAACTGTAAGTGGCGCATTTTGAGCGTTAAATCTCGATTCTACGAACCAGAAAAAGGTGTTGATGGAGTAGTTTTGCTGAATTGACCCTATTGTAGATGGGGGGAGGCTGACGTAGCCAGTATACTGTCTCTGGTGACGAAATGTTGTCTCACAAGTCCCTGAGACCGGACTAGTGTAGTTTATAGATACCCCGTTGGATATAGTGGCGGAAACCGTGGTTCTTGACGTCCCGCTTGAGAAGCTTGAGGATACCGATCTTGCAGAGGATTGCAGGGTCCAACAAACTATCACTCCGAGAGCAAGGTAGTGGTTCAGAAAGTGTCCCTAGTCAATCGATATCAGGTATCCATATTTAGTCGAGATTAAACAGTGAAAATTTCCTCACCATTAGTGCTGGAGTGACCAAGACAAATGACCTACCAAAGAACGCGGCGGTCAGGTTAATGCAGTTAAAGAGAATAAGATTTAGTATAGAGAAACAATGAGATTCTCATTTTTGATGGACAGGAGGCGCAAACTCTGTAAATATAAGCAGGCACATACAAATCTGTACTTCCTACAATTAAATATGCCCTTAAGAGCAAACGGAGAGTACGAGTTGCCAACAACAAAGAAGCCGTTTGTACGGGCTCAAAATAAAGCCACGAGAATGGAGTTGAGATCAATCATAGAAAATGCAGGGTGTTAACAGCGTGGTTCCTAGCCTCGTCAAGGCTCTAAGAATTACCTTCCCCCCGTTCTCTTCTTGGGTATCATCGATAATAGTTCCACATTTGCAGGGATGTGCTGCATAGGAGAAGCCACCTGAACGGAAGATCTTCTTATGATTCGCATCCGATAAGGCATGTTGGTCGTTTGACAAACGAAGAAGGCATGCAGCGATCCCTTCTTGTCCAACATGTGGCGTTCAAGTCGGCCAATGCATCGTGCTAAGAAACAAAGAAATACGCCGACCATATTGTTGGTTTGTAGATTATTGAAACTGACAGACTGATTGTTGATAGGTAATCAATCTCCGCCTTCTTCGGCCCAGGATCCAGTAATCCATTACTCCTAGGGTCCTAGTCAGAATGTGTCTGCCTCTACCAGGTATTTCATCGCATAGATCAGTATATCAGCGAGTCCACGGCTTTCCTCACTGTCAGCACCGGGGATGCGTTGCAATTATGGAGCTTTTGATGTTGATGGAGTTGAAGTTGAAATTAAAGCGACGCGTGACTTTCGGGCCAAGTTAGCTACTTAGGGCTAAGTCCGAAACAGGTAATTGCAACAACATCCTCAACATCTTCGCGTTTCTCATTCTGTTAATACTTGATATGAATGCATTTCCTGAGAGATGTTACTTACCGATTAATAGTTACTGAACACCTTAAGGCGTGCTGCGATAGGAGTTGGTTACTTTGGGATTCCTCAGCCTCCGCAGAGATGTAGCCATACGCAACCGCCAAATGCTGAGTACGGACGTCGGACGAGACATAACCACGGCCAAGGGGTACGGACGCAGCATTCGCATTACAGTGTTGTTTGCTATTAATAGCGAGAACCATATTCTGAGAATAATTCGCGGATAGTTGCAGGCTTATGCCCCAGTTCACCGTTTAAAAGCTACTGAAAAACCACACCTCACAAACATTGTAGCATGACTATTGCTGGTGAGGATCAGGATATCTGGGAAAGGAACAGTGGATCACATTCCTTCTATGGTGGTTTAGTTTGATACCAGTTCATGTTTGCGTTTCTTCAGTGGTGGCCGGTCCTCCTGTGAGCTGTCCGGCTGGTATTCCGCAATTGCAAGTCGGACCATCTTGAATCCCTACGATAATTGTCAGTCAAGAGTTTGGACATCGTTGGAATGATAAGACCCTCACATCAAAACCTGCCTCTAGGCTGATGACACGCTTTGGCACCACGAGATATTGTGGCTTGAGTAGCTTGTGAGTCAGGCCAGCCCATTCTGAGCATCTGCCATCCTGGCTTATTGCTCTCAGGCCATGTATTCCCTTCTGTCCTACTGAGAGAGCAAAACCCTGTAGGCCTGTCGAGTTCGCCGACCCGCCAACAATATCCAAATTCTGCCTCTTCCCCCCTCTCGTGTACCCCAGACAGATATCAGGGCCTCCCTCGATGATGAAGCGGAGCCCACTAACAAAAGAAGCCTCGCCAGCCACTACAGTGGTGGCTATAATCTGGTGAATATTATCGGGGATAGCAGTTAGTTGAGTGTAAAATTCCTTGCACCCATCTTGGAAATCCCGGCTTTTCATATCTGGATAACCTGGACATTCGCTTTCCATGGGATGGATGACTCCTCGGCCTTTTGTCCATCTTAATTGGTTTTTTTCGATATTCAAAGGACGCAGGGAGATGCCACTACTCCAACCCAAAGTTACCAGCTCGGATATTGGTGACTGAATGAGTTTCCAGATACGCATTCTATTTTTCAACCCTGGCTCCAAACGCGTTAGATCCCTGAATTTAAAGTATAACCATTTCCAGTCAAGCAAGCAGTTAGTTTTGTTAGCTTCGAACGCATAACCAAGCTCGAGATTTGGCTGGAATCGAGACCTCCAAAAGGACTGTCCCAGGTTGGAAGGGATGATCCGGGCCAATCCTTTCGAGGCCTGAGACAACGCCAATGCATCAACTGTGGGTAGCTGAACAACTATGAGCTCTAGGAGTTCGAGGGTGAGGCTGGTTAGGCAATTAGGCTCAGCATAGCCACTTATTGGAGCTGAGCTTCGTTCAACCAGCCTTCGTTTCTTTCGCTTATCGTCCAGTCGTGCTCTCCGTACGAGTGCTTTTATGCGTTTGCCGTTCTTCAGTGCCCCCCACGGATCATGAAGGAAGAATGGTTCAGGAATGTCAGGTGCGTAGAATATCCACGAGCCTTCAACCTTTACAACCCTTTTCTCCCACGGATAGTGCTCCTTGACCCTGAAGACTCCACTATATTCATGGCCCCAATCAAGGGTATTCATACCGCATCCCAGAATGGGACAAGACCAGAATAAGTCCATCAGGCGTTCTATTGGAACTTCGCCAGGGCTAAAGAACCGTTCGAGAAGGGAATAGCATGAGGCGTGTATAATAAAACCAGAGCGACATCGCATTGGAACCCGGATGTGCATATTGAATACTACCTCATCCTCAGGATCAAGACTGGCGTCTTCCAGGTCATACCCTGGATCGTCCCATCGGCCGTCAAAATTGAGCGGCGCTCTATATATGAAGCGTGGAGCATGATTTCTGCTTACTCCGGACACCTCTGGCTGCAGCCCTCGTGCTGGGTTGACGCACACTCCAGTGTTCAGTCAGTTATTGTGGAATTTTCCCATCCCAGGATTAGACACATATTAACGCTTACATGCTCGATATTCGCTATCCCAATGTATTTTTTCCTTGAGGACATTATTATCGTGAGGGAAAACATCTCTGCCGCACAGGACACACCCGTGTAATATCATCTTGCTCAGGATCGTCTTTAGTTGAGTATTTACACACAGCGAGGACAATGAACTGTTATGTGCATCAGAAGGTATGAAGTTAGCATCATTTTCGCCCGCAACGCTATAACTATTTACTCGCTGATAAGTAACTACGTCATAGTATTGAAGACCGTTGAGACTTTTTGTAACAAAGTTGTATGGCAAAGCTAATATAACAGGCTTAGCTGAGTTGATGCGAAGAGAAGTATGTATACGATTTCCAGACTCGTAGCTCGCTGCACCCCCCTTAAGGACAAGGAGCGCCGCGAAGTCTGCTTAATCCTTGTGTAACCCCTTCTCGAACAATAACTCTGCTTTTAGGTCCTCAATTTCAATCTTCAAGTCCCTGATAAGCCTCGAACGCGCCAAGCGGTCTGTGAATTATCGGCGTACATGATGACCTGGGGGAGTAAGCAGGTAACATTATCCTTCCGTTCAGTCATCCGACATCCTAGGGTATTCTACCCAGAAATTTCAAATGAATCAGGGCAATTGTCAAAGTCTGCCACTACACTAAAAGGAGTGAGCCCACACAAATAGTGGGCAGAGCTGAAGCTTTTTCGAGAGTAATCTAAGTTAGAGGGACCAGCGACGATTTCAACCTGGATATCGATTCGAATTTCTGCTTTAAAGCTCTAAAAGGTCGTTGTATGAGCCCTCTAGCAGGGGCAGACAACAACTTGAGCTTTTGAACCCTCCGAATTTTCGACGTGATAGATCTTTTTCTTTTCTTCCGAAAGTAATCTCACCCTCCATTTTGCTCTCTATCTTTGAAGTCTCAAATAGTTCGTGTATAGCTCTGGCTACTTCCTCCAAAGTAGTTGAGTATCCCACTAGAATCGACCAAAGAGTTAGTTTCTTCCCACACTAGTGTCTCCAAAGTTATAGATCAGTTTTTTAACTGACTTTCTTTCGAATGAGAACTCGATCTTTTCCAATTTTCGCTGCGCTCTTTCCCCGATCTTGGTCGTACCGAATACGACAGCCAGGTATGAGTTGCTTGAACGGATTATTGACTGGGGTCGTAGCTTGTCGGAATCTAGGATTTGGAGTAGAGATATCTGCAACTTGTCTGATGCTTGCTTGACGTAATGGCTTTTTTTGAGCTTGATCATGAAGTGGAAGATTCCCTCGCCGCCAAAGTGTCCGGGCAGCCGTGCACACTCTGTGAAAGGTCTGAGGCCTGTTGACCCCTGGCAAGCTGTACAGGCACGCATCTCACGCCTTCCCCGGGACTGGATCAGCAGGCCATTGATATACGAGGGCCGGTGAAGATGTATCTGATGAAGTCCCATGCTACCAGGAGCATAGCGGACATCCCGCTCTGGAAGGGCCAACATCTCCCGGCCCAACTTGTTGTGGACAAAGAAGGCCAGTTCCTGGCCACCGATCCTGTGGATTCCTGGGGTTACCGTCATCCGGGCGATTTGAGAGTGATAGCAGACCAGAGGCCTATGTCCAGACCATATATCAGTATCTCCCATGCATGTACAGCGGCTGGCAGAAAACCTATTATTTCACTATCAGTTAGTACATTCTCAAATATATGCTGCAATGTCCAGGGGCGAGTGCTAGGAATATGGACACGATATCCCTTGAGGGGGTTTTTTTCGTAGCCAGGGAACCTACTTCGCTTGCTGAGTCTTCTCTATACGTACTCGGTTTATCTCACTGGTTTGCTTGCCCAACTTCCCTATTTGGGCTTGGTGATTTTCCCAGCCGGTATTCCGTCGCGGACGTGATGGATTCTGAGACCAGGGATGTCGTCTAGTTGTTGTTGCTATGGTATAGGCTTGGGTTGCTGTTTTGTGTTCCACCGTAAGCGTTTTGATCTGAGTAATAGTCACCTTCCAGGAGACCTGGATGTCTAGTATTTAGGGATTTGATTCGAGCTCGCACGAGAATATTATATCCCTTATATATATATGTAAGGGTGAGTAAGGATATGAAGTCGTAGTATCAGCTGTTTCCTTTCCAGGTCCGATAACTAATGGGTACCTTGAGATCTTCCCCTTTAATCCCCTGGCTAATTAAAGTATCCGGCGGTTTGCCTCTCGATAGCTTATGTAGCGCTATTAGGACAGCGTAGCTGGTCGTCCTTCCTGGAATTTGCACACCTTGTCGACCCTTTTGGCTCAAGATGCGGCAGGTAGTTGAATGTATGAGCTGTTCGGGATTATAGGGAGAGAAGGCAATGTTGCGTTGATTGCCCAAGTATCTATGGCTCTCTGATTGCCGCTGTGCCACATAATGACTTATCAGTATGTCCTGATGTATATTATTGAATACATGAAACATACCTAATTATGAACATTCCGAACTCCATAGACGTAATCCAAGAATGGAGAACGAAAGGAATTAGACCGGGTTCTCCTCCAACCGGCAGCGTTCGTCGGCCTCCTGACGAGCTCGGCGGGCTATCGCAGAGGCGAGCCCAGCCGCATGAGCATGCGCTGACCGCTCAGCGTGTCGGGGAGCCATCAGCTGCCGGCGCAACTGAAAAAGCTCCTCGCGGCGCGAGCCAGCCAGTGCACCAATTCGGGCCCAAATCTCCACCCGTAACAGGTGGAGCTGGCGTAGCTCGGGGGAGTCAGGCTCCTAATACACCGTCAGTTGAGCCACAACCAATAAAAATTTCAAACTTGATCGAGAGATGAAACCTTTGATCCAATCATGATTTGCTCTTCGATAACCTCTTCCCAGTTAAACGAACGGAGCTCTTTACATACAGCCTTCGGATACTCAGGGGGTTAGCCTTTGGCTCAAGGAACGGCTAAACGAGTACTTACTTGCTCACAGGGCTTTCGTGGGCCAGCGCACCGTTGTCACAGAGTCCTGATGGTCACGGGCAGGTAGTTTTATCTAAGGATATACCCTCTATCAAATTCTCAGCGACGAGATTTTGACATTTCAGGGCGGAGAAAGGGCCAGATTCCGGGGCGGTTCTGGAGCTGCTGCTTGCAAAGAGTTCTCTGCCGGGCTTTTGTGAGGTATGACTACTCCCGCGGTTTGCAGAGCGTCAGCAGGAGATGTCAGTGTACTTATCTCCCAGTACATATGATAGGAAGTTTGGGTATTTTGGTCATTTCCTAGGAAGAAGTGGTGATGAATTTTGTAGGAAAGGAAAGGAATTCAGCGAGAGGAAGACGGGTATATATGCTGTTCGAGAGGCTATAGTGAAGAGCTGAGTCTTCACTGGGTATCAATGGGGTGGTTGGGAATATTCATTGGGAATATTCATCTCCAGCATTCACTACTATCCGCATCTCCAGGTCAGTGAAAGAACCACCTATGGACAAGCGGTGCGGACAAATACATACGTACCAAAGGAGGACAACTCAGACATAAACTGAAAGGCTTGAAAGGCTCTCCCGGTTAAAGAATGCGAATATCAACGCTTTATTGGATGAAACTAGCCTAACAAACTCCTATTCCATGACAAAGAACACTGAAACCTGCAGATGAGACAAGAATCAAAAAACTCCAGCCCGTATCACAATCACATATCCGTCCCGTCCATCCGTCCATCCGTCCATCCATCCATCCATCCATGCCGTTTCACTGATATGGAATCTGTAGGGTAAGTAAGTTATGCATTCTCAACGCCATTAGAGTAAAACCACTCCAGAACATGACATGGTAGGCATAACGAGTAGCAGTAGCAGTACGCAGGGGAGTGGCAATTTCAAATAACTAGTTAAAAACAGAGCAACAAAGGCAAAGTGTAGACCGCTTGCTTAGCATTCAGGTTCAAGTTCGAGTTAGGGTTCAGGGTTGGTGTAGTAGTTGTATCTTTGCTTCTTTTGTGTTTTGGTAAAGTAAGACCATGCAATGCAATGCAGGTATAAGGCTTGTGGGAGGGGGAATCATTCCTGAGAGATGAAAAAAGGGCAATGACATGATGACTGAAAAAAGTAAAGCAGAAAAATGGATGATGCAGTGCAATGCTAAGGACGTAAAAAAGGTAGAAAAAAAGTAAAATTAGGCAAAGAGTAACAGTCGTATCGTGAGAGGAGAACGAAGGGGAAGGGTATGGCACTAATCGATTTTGGCATTCGCAAGTTTCATGTTGGATCCCAGACCTGCGAGGTTGTTCGAGAAGCGGAGAGGATTGTTCTTGAACTTGGTGTGTTTCTTCAGCTTCTTACGAGCAACCATCACCGGAGCAGAGGACTTGGTGACAAGATAATTCGAGAACGAGCCCAGAAGAACACTAGCCATATGTTAAGACGTTAGTGAGGCTGTGCGAAAGTATATACGGGGAAAAGAAGGTTAGACGAACCCCTTGAGCGCGCTTCGGCCTCTGGAGCCAAGAATGACAAGAGTCGGCTCGAGAGCATCGATCTAGAGGGGGGGGGGTTTATTGGTTAGTACGAGGTCTTATTACTTATGTGAGTGTATTATGCATGGAGCACAAACTTACCGCCTCTGTGATGAGATGCTTGGGGCTTTTGCAGTGTATCACCTCGACCGCCACACGAACCTGCAGCTTCGTCTTGCGCATCAGACGCACGCATGTCTGTGTGAGGCCGTCGATGGCATGGGCGCGGTCTGCCTCCGTTTTCGATAAGGCTCTCGAATCCACTGAACCTGTTGCGCTCTCCAAGCCCTTTTCTTTGTGACTGTCTTTCTCTTTCTCCCTGTCGCTGGCAGAACCAGGGAGATGAGTGGTTGAGACCTGCGGCGAAGGGAACGATGATGATGGCCGGGTGGGTGCTTTTGCACGACCTCCTGCCTGTGAATGCATTGTGGTAATCATGTCCAGGACAGCCTTATATCCGTCGCTTATTGGCGTTACGGATGGAAGGTCAGTTTCAGACGGTTTAACAGAGGACGATGAGTTTTCTTCGTCGATGGCGTAGATGGCATACATCGTGTCTCCATCACGCAATATAGTACCGATAGTCCATTCGAGGGCATAAACTGATTCCTCGCTCAGGTCAGTAGCCACGAGATAGCTACGGGTTCGACGAAGACCTTGTTCGGCCTCCTCTTGCATCTTGGCAAAATCTCCGCGTACAATAGTGCGAATGACTCTGTTGGGCACCGACTGGTCTGTTGGCGAGAGGTAGACGTTCAGATTCTGGGCCTTTTTGATCTCACTGATCTCTGCCTCATCCTCCATAGGAATACCATCACGATTCCCTCCGTCTCCTTCATCGTCTGAACCAACCGGGGTATTGCCTTGGGAGACGGTGATATCAAAATTAGTGTTTGGATGGACACTGGTCTTGTGCTTCATGGGCTTTTCAGCCGCTGCTGCAACAGCGCGGTTGTCAGGCTCGAGCAGAGACCGGACTTTATACGTCGAGGACACGGATTTGCCTATAGCTACTTGTTAACACAAGACACTTAAATCGAGTAGAAATAAAAATAAAATAGAAAGTGAATACGTACGTTCTTCTTCGGCGGCTGCCAGGAGACTTCTGACCTTATTGGCTGCTTCTGGGTCATCTAGGTCGTGATCAGTTCCCTGGCCATCACGCTTCTTTCTCGTCCGGCCACGGCCTCTTCCAACGCCCAATCGCCAGAGCTCATCATCCGAGCTGATGTCCTCCTCTTCTTCACTGGTGTGGTCCTCACTAAAGCCACCGTCAGGGGTATCATAGTAATCTTTAGCAAGTCTAGCGTCTGAGTCTGAATGTTCAGCCAGATCTTCCAGTTCCTTCTTCTCAATGTGAGGCAGATGGGCCAGGCTGCCACTTGAGCGCTGCAGCGCCGCGTTAGACAGCTTTCTATATGCGTGATCCAAGTTGATAACCCTGCCGGAGTCCGTGACAAAAGTATTGACGTTTGACTTTGAGTTGGCTGCCTGTGGATTGAGACTGTTCAGCGAGCGTGGTCCTGGAGACCGCGAGCGCATGGGAGATGTAGAGCTGTGTGGAAATCCGCGAGCATGGCGGCCGATCTGTCTGCCACGCGGGAAACCCGGTAAAGGCCCAAAGTCGGCCCCGGACATGACGGCGGCCATGGAGTTTGGGGGGTGTTTGTTATTACTGTTATGATTGTTGCCGTTTCCAGTGACGCTCTTCTTGCCACCCTGGGTGACTCGCTTTGGCAGCTGGCTCGGTACGCTGGGGAGCATGCCAAACTGGTACGCTTCGACGCCGGTCTTCTTCCCTACAGACGGCAGGCCGCCATAGGATGACTCTGAGGCCCGACGCAGGCCGTCTGGCTCGTGTATGGACGGAGTATGGGCTGAGGAGGTGGGCGAGGACGCCGCGCTGTGCGTCTCCCTCAGCGGCGAGGGCGATAACGGGTCGAGCATGCTCCGTACGCTGCCAGACGACGACTTGATCGACCCTGCTCGTCCAGAGGGAGCAGGCGCAACATCGAGCATGGAGCGGATGGGAGGAGCTTGTACGGTAGCATGATGGTGGGGACGAGGAGAGTGGTTATGCTGGCTCTGAGGGCTCTGGGGGCTGCTCTGCTGCTGCTGCTGGGTGCGGCCCTGGAGGATCTCGAGGATCTCGCGCCGCTCCTCGTCAAGGGCTGACTCGAGAGACATCTTGGGGACCATGGTGAAGGGGAGAAAGAAGAGGAAGAGGAAGAGGAAGAGAAGAGATGAAAATACGAAAGCGAGCGAGATAGGCTTGGATCTGCTCTGGCGGTTCTGGTGGAGCCAGGCAAAACCCGCCGCGCCCAAAAGTCGACGGCGACAGAACGTCAGACGGAGAGACGCTGGCAGCGAGCCGTCAGGACAGGCAGACAGCAAAGGGAGGCAGCGAGAGCGTCCCTGCGATGATTCCCAGAGTCAGGATGCTGGTTCGGTCGTGGCGCCGCAGCCACAGGGAGCGTCGCTTGCGGCAGCGCTGGTGGGACAAGGGATCAAGCTGCGTGCGCGGTCAGTTTCACCAGCAACAGAACAACCAGGACAGCGCAGGACAGCGAAGGGAGGACAGACAGATAGAGACAGAGACAGCGAGAGAGAGAGAGAGACGAGCAGGTCGGCTTTTCAGGGTCGCGATAGAGAGCGCGGGAGCAGGCGAGGATGTGGCTGAAGCAGCTCGTCCATGTTGTTTATATTAGGGCCTGGGCAAGACGAAGAACAAGGAAAGGCCAAGCAGAAGCGACGAGGACACCCCCGGGACGAGATGCGCTTGTTCGTGCTCTCGTCTCGTCTCGTCGTCCTGGATAGCCGTTTCGCAGTTGCGGCTGAAGCTGGTGATGTTGTAGTAGTTGTTGTTGTTGTTGTAGTTGTTGTTGCTGCTGGTGTTGTATTTGGCAGAGGGCGAGCGCCGGCTACATAACAAATAACACAGGAAAAACGACAGGACAGCAACGAAGAAAAGACGGCCAGAGAACAACAGCTGAGGAAGAGGAGCTCCCGCTTGGCATCACATCCGGCCTGCAGGGAAGACGAAGGAAAAAGAAGAAAAAGCGCATGCATCAAGACCCGAGGGAACTCCCTTGCTCCAACAACCACGCCAACGCCGACGGGGAGAGCGAAAGGAGACTAGACAAACACAGGGAGGGCAGATCGAGCGGTGATCGAGGCGACGGGGAAAAGGAATTATATGGCCCTTCACGTCTTTGCCCTCTTCCGTCCATTCTTAGTATTCTTAGCATTATTATTCTCGCGTGGCTGGTGCTGGTTCTGGCCCCCGTCCAGCGGCCGGGTTCGCGGCTTGTGGAATGCTTCTTCCGGCGGTTCATCATCATCCTCTGCAGCCCGCTTCTTGTGCTTGTGCTTGTGCTTGTGCTTCTGCGTCTGCGTCTTCGGAGCGTACTTGGCCTCCAGGTTGGCCAGGAAGGACTCTCCCCGGCTCTTCTGGCGCTGCTGGATGAGCGCCATCAGCGCATCCTCGCCCCCGTCTCCTCGGCCTTTACCTCCTTTCGCTTTCTTGCTGCCGCTGCCGAACAGCTTCTCTTCGACCCCGAGCTCCCGGGCCATCTCCATGGCCTCGCCGGCTTCCTTCCTTGCAGCCCTACGCCGCGCCCGCTTCGTCTCCGCCGGCTCCTCCGTGAAGGCTGGATAGTCCGCGACCTCGCCGGCCTCGATGGCGTCGCGGATGAGGGCGCGGAACCGGTCGTCGTCCTCCAACACGTCGCTGGCCATGACTCGCTCGTAGATCCCGTCCATCTGCCCCTTGCACTCCTCATATACCCGCAGCAGGTCCGACCTCTCCTCGTCCGAGCCCTTGTACTCCTGCTTGAACTTGTCCAGCAGCGTCCCGTCGATCATGACGCTGAACTGCTCGCGGTAGAAGTCCGTCCAGCTGAAGTCGTCGTCCTCTAGGTCGAGCGACTCCGACGTGTTGCCCGTCGTGTCGTAGCGCCGCCGCCGCCGCTCGTCGGACAGAATCGCATACGCAAACGCGATTTCCTGGAACTTCCTGTGGGCGGCATCCTTGTCCCCAGCCGAGACCTTGTCTATCTCCTCATCAGCAGCTGTTCACATCATATCAATATATATATATATCCGGCCTTACCTGGGTGGTGTCTGAGAGCCTTTTTCCTGTAGGCTGACCTTATCTCGTCCGCGCCCGCCTGCTCGGCCACGCCCAGCACCTCGTACGGGTTGATGCACGGCGGCTCCTCGCAGTCCACGCCGTCAGAGGACATCTTCGCGCTCTCGATCTGCCGTTTATTTCGTCTCTTCCGGTCTCTTTTGATGTCTTTTCTGCGTTTTTCTTCTTTTTCAATTAAATTCGACGTCGCGAAAACTCGCGGGGAGACGCGCTGATTAGTAATAGATGACTAAGAAGTCACCTTTGATTACTAAGATCTTAGTCACAGTATACGGAAGTTTTGTTAGAAAGACGAAGAAAACGACGAAGCGACAGCGACATCGATGAAACACGGCATAAAACATGCACAGGACGGTGATCTGCAACCTAGAATAGCTGAGGGAGTCTTGTCTAACAGGTGGCTGGCGACTTGTTTACCCGCAACATCAAACATGTTTATATCAGGGACGTCAGCTAGATACACATACAATATCAGCTTCTGATACATCAAAGTCGATCTCGCCGTTTCTCCTGACGATCCATCGACACCCCCATCGAGACCCTTGTATGATAACTAGCTTGTCGACAAGTGAGATGAGTAATCTGAAAACAAATGCACATTGCATTATCCTCATGTCTGCTCCTTCAGTTGAACTAACCATCTCACTAGATAACTACCATGATAACCCCCTAAAACTGGACCAGGTAAAGGAAAACTCATTAAAAGTGATTGATGAGAAGAAAGAAGACATCCATATGAGCTTGTCAAGCGGCATAAGATACCATGGACCACGCAACTGGTTAAGCGGGAATCATTTCATTTGTCCTTGGAGCTCAAGGCAGCAGCAAGCACGCCTCTCCACCAGGTCTCGTCCTTGGGGCCCCAGTGAACGACTTCAGCCAGCTCCTCACGGACGACCTGGCGCTGGATGGGAGACAGGACAACAGGTCCTTCCTTGACGATGGTCTCGGCCAGGGCTACCGCGTCGGCAGAGTCGCGGTCGATGTGGGAGTACTCACTGTTACGCTGGCCGCAGAGGCGGATGGACAGCACCAGCAGGTCGGTCGGCCCGATGTAGGGGAGACAGTCGATGTCGACGTCTCGCACAATGGTTGCTGCCATGGGCATGTAGGGCAGCTATCACATACCATACTCCCTTGTTAGCCACCAATATCTGACGTGAACACACACGAATAAGAGGCTTACGCGGCAGTTGGTGCTGAAGTCAACCTTAATCTGCTTTCCGCCTGGGTGAGAATAGTACAGACAGCCCTCGTACTCAGTAAACATGGTGTCGAAGGCCTGCAGCAGTCTGCGGTGCGCCACCTCCGCGTTGGGGATGGTGATCATGAAGTCGACGTCCTGCTCCTCAGTTAGCTGCCAGACGCGACATATGCCCCCTGGCTCTTGACTTTGATAGACCGTCACCTACCTCTGGGTCATCAGTTGGCTTCCGCTCAGCAACGTATCTGCAGATGGCAGCGCCTCCGATGATGGCCACCTTGGTATGGGCGAGATCAGGGCATTTCTTGAGGCAGAGGATGACTGCGCGAGCCGTGTCCTCCATTTCGGCGAAGGTGGGAGTGGTGATCATCTTTGCAGCTCTCTCTGGCCTGGTCCTGTCTGTGAAGCTCTGTCAGAGGCGAAGGGGAGCAGGATGATGAAGTTGAAGCGGAGAGAGATATGGAGAGATAGGTGAGGTTGAAGCTGAAGATAAACAAACTGGCAGGTGAGAGAAGAAAGAAAAGAAAACAAAAGAGAGAGAGATAGAAAGCAGACTGTCTTTCCTTTTATACTCTTCTCTCGGCGTGGGCAGTGGCAGGGGCCGGCGAGACAGGCATCAACCTGCTAGAACATCCCTCTGAGAGAGCAGCACTCATTGATCACAGCAGATGACCTTCTTTCTCCTTCTACATATATTTACGGCCTTAGATTGAGTCTGCCCCGGCAAAGGATGTCAATTCCGCCCACATAGGGACATCATCTGCCTGCTACGCCGCGGGGATGTCAAGGCAGCAGTGACCGCTGGAGGCCGCATTGAATTCTACTTGCTTACTCTGCTATACAGCATTGGTCATCTTACTACTTTGGTTGGCCATACCGATCAACGAAGCCTCAGACATATCAAAGTCTCCCATGGTTGACCTGTTGTCGACAGCAGATTTACATAGTATTCGGAAGTTACCGCAGACTATTATCAAAAATGTATTCAACAGAGAAAACTTAGTAAGGGAATTTCCGTATATCGAGCATGATATCGTCTTTAAACGTATTACCTGCATTAGCAATATGCTTACATGACCGTATAACTGCTTACTTCAGAGATTATATATTAGGCCCGCCGCATCCCTTAGAAAATGAGGATAACATACATTTTTGATAGCATATCTCCATAAGTGTCTCCTCAGCGAGGAAGAAAGAGAGACATAGCACCATGGATGTATCAATGTATTGTTCTAGAGGAAACTTCTCTCACTTAGTTAAGCCGTTCACCAGTGCCAATGTCATTTCTCTCACCCAAAGGGCAATTCAGCCACTCTCCTTTCCCAATCTTACAGGTAGAAGCAAGCTTATTAAAATCAAGACGTCCTCCCGCTTTGTCTCTCCTGACATCAAGGCAGAAGAATTTTCAAGTATCCCCGGTGGTACAGCTTCAATCTCATCCACCGGGGTATGTATTCAGCAGGAAGTTGACACAAGCCCTGCCAAACAATCAACAATATTCCATAAAATAAAGGTAGCCTTATATGAGGTAGAAGGTATCAATCTGTGTTTCTTTTCTGCGTCTGGTATAAGAGTCCCTGGGAATACAATGCTTTCGATTATCCGTCGAAACGTCGTACTCCTACGATATTCAGACTCCTTCCGCCACTCGATACAGTATTTACTAACCTCGCCCAATGTTTTGTCGTATTGGAGAGCCGTTAAGCATACAGCACATTGAAAGGCATCAAAGTCGATGCCATCCTGCGGATCCTTGGGAAATGGGCAATGAGCGAAGAAGTGGAAACTTCTCCAAAACAATTGAAGAGCAGCATCGGACACTACTTCTTCAGAATAAGTTCTCCTTATATAACGTCCCAACCTTTCACATTCCAGCCCAATACCCCCTTGTAAGTAGGGGATTTGCAGCGGGGTTGAAGAAACAAAAACCTACATTTTCCCTCTGAAGGACTCTTGACACACTCCTTTTCAAATATTTCTATCAAGCGTTCCTTTACATCTCTTTAATATCTAGTAATGTTTGTAGTTAAGCCTTGATGGATAGATTCCATTTTATTCTTGTTAGTTCAATCCAATAAACTGGCTAGACAATGGGCTTTTGTCTTCACTAGGGCCGGCTTTAGCGAGGTATTTTTCTGTATCTGCCCAGGATACATGAACACAGCTGCTAAAGTCAATATTTAGAGTCCAATTCCAGGTAAAACTCAACATTGCTTCAATAGAGATGCAAATGATGATCCAGTTCTGAGTGTCTTTAGAGACAACAGTGTTCCTGGTATGAGGTAGGATAATATGGGCTCAACTATTTGGAGGCAACGCAGCTAGAGAGCTCCGTATACGTATACTCATCCAAAGCTATAATGGTATCAGGTATAAGACCACGTTATATTCGACACTGTATCCAAACAGCAAGCACGGGGCGGTAGCGCCAAATATGGGATAACCCCATACCTTATATTCTCCTTTGCCACTAGGGTTTTATTTTATATAAAGCTGGGTATAAGTGCATATTTTAAACAGTATGCAAATGTATATACTGCATACTACCCCGTAGGTTCAATATTTGAAATTCCATGAAAGCCTGGATTCTTTGGTATCAGTATCGAAGCTAATATCATCTTCGCCACGGTGTGATGCGCTCGACGGCATAGAATCGCCCTGCCTGGCTTAATTAGTCCAAAATCATGGTGAGACAAAACAATAACTCCCTCTCAGATCCCCTCTAGAATACTTTATCCAACGCGTAATGAATAGTAATAACATGTGTGTTTCATCCCTTTTTCCCCTGTGAATGTTGCTTTTGAGCTTTGATTACATAAGCCTGGCCGCAACGGCCCGCACCCTTAACTTAGCCTAGTCCGCTTCCGGCTAGCTTGGCATCCACGGCTCTTCATCTGCATCAAACATCAAAACATTAGCGCTTCTTCTCCTTTTCGATCCTTTTCCACACGGAGTCAGTTGAGCGAGAGGTGGGACTAGGGACAGAGAGAGCCTCGGTTGGTCTCGGGCTACTATAGCTAGTTGAAATAATTTGGACCCTTTACGGAGTATACAGACCGAGCTGGATACTCCGTACCCATTAAAATCTGCCTTGGCTAGTTACGGTGGTTTCGAGAAAACAGGTAGATCCCCCTCGCAAACTTCCAAGAGCTCTGGCATTCTAACTAGCTTCAACTCCGTGCCTGCAAGACAGAAATAACATATATACAGATATTGTTTGAGTCCATTAAGCTCGCTGACCCCTTGGCAAAGCTGGAATACTACCCACAGTGGCCTGTCTTGTGCTACCAGCAGCCAAGTAGTTATATCGCAACATGGCATGTCTGGAGCCAGGCGGTATAACACCCTTTCACGAGCTTATTCTTATCAGGGTCATCCCCTTGCTCGGTCACTCCATGGATCTCCATATCTCTCGCCGTCTAAAGAAATTCCATCTTTGCGGCAGACATATCCGCACGTCCGCCAAATATTTTTGTCGTCGAAAGATGTCTATATCATATGATGCCTGATACGGTACGCTACTATTCACACCCTCAAACTTATCTCTCTAAAGTTAGCCGATTGTCTGTGATGTCGATACTCGCTGCTCTACTCGTAGTATCGGAGTATGTCAACTCGATGAAGGCGAAAATTACGGTCATTGATCCAGCATATGCTTTATGAATGAGGATCAGTATGACTCTATCACGATACTACTTGTGTTAAGACAGTCGAAGATAACAGGTGCTGGTATACTTCATACGAACAGGCAACGGTCAAGTTCGAAGGGCCTGTCGGAATCAAGATTTGTTTCTAGGCAGCTGAGGGTGGTTCTCTAATTATATACTATGCGCTTCATGAAACAACATAGAACCGTTTTATGGTCAAGTAATTGAGAACGACTTGTTGGATACGCGGGTTTAATTTGTGGCCCCAAGCAGGGTACAAGCACCAGTACAGGCAGACCTAGCAGCAGTATATAATATGTCTTCAGCAGACGAGGGCATATATGGAGAGAAGACATGTTGATGAGCTGAAGTATCCAGTCTCGGAGTGAGCAAGCAAACGAGACCAGTAATATATGATATAAGACACGAGTAGTACAGTTGCCATGGTTATAGACTTCGAAAAGTATCCAATACACTAAGTTCAAATTTCTTTGAACCATGCTCTGATGAAAATGAGTTGATTTTAATTATTTTATCGATTGATTGATATATATGTATGTATATAAGGTAGGTTAGATGTCACGATTAAAACGTAGCGCTCCGTATTTATATAAGTACAGTTAAGCCTTAAGGCCAGAGCTGAGCCTGAGCCAGAAACCGAAAAGCGGAATCAAAAACATAGAGCCATTTCCCAACCCAGCCAGCCCTGCTGCCAGACAAAATGGATTGTACAGGGCAAGGAAAAAGAAGAAAGCAGGAAGAACAAGGTCCTCCAATCAAACAAAGGGTGGTTTTGTTGCTGCTGTGCTGTGCTGTCTATGTGCATGAAACAGGAAAACAAAGCAAGAAATATGAAAGGGGTCCAGAGAGGATGACCGCATAATGAATGAATATACAGGTAGTATTAAACAGGATGGGGAGGGCTAGACATAAGGAAAAGTAGGTAGGGGGAAGGGGATATAGCCGTGCAGGTCGATATGTTGGTTGGTTGGCTGAGGCTGGGAGCAGCACATGGACCGGTTCGCAATGGGGGGAAATTGCCCCGAGTATATAGTTAAAAGAAGGTGGGTAAAGGACCAAGCTCGATAGGAGCAGTAGATTGGTGGAAGCAGGAAAAAGAAAGGAAGCGAATGCATGCATGCAAACAGAAGCCGACCACCTGCCATTCCCCCCTGTACCGGAACAA